CCCAGCTGTAGAGTTTAGTCGAATCTACGCTTACGTGGTACTGGTCTCTAAGGTCTAGCAAACACAGATGCGCCTTCAGTTTGGACTGCATGACTTGATAGTACTGTACTTTTGGAAGCCTGAAGGTTTAGTTTGGTTGGGCCTGAAAATTTCCGCGAGTATATCCTGTAATTTTGCAGTCGCTATTAGAGGAGTTTGTATCAAATTTAGATAAACAATGCAACTTGGCTTTTTGTAGACTTGAGGTTGGTTACAATGTGAAATTTCGTCTCTTAGTGTTGATTAGAAATTCATATCTCTCTAAAATTTCCCTTTCCAGGGTTTCTAGATCTAAGTCAGCTAAGGTAAACTCCCAGACGAATTGCCTCTTGAAGTCCGAATCTAGTATCAACGTTTTCTGCCCAAACGTCGCAATTTCAAGTTTTTTGGCAACTTGAGTTGTAGCTGCGGAAGTTTCTCGACTCAGCTCGGTTTCGTTCTGAGAAATGATACTAAAGACAGCACCAGTATCCACCAAAAACTTCAAGTGTTAATTCCTCTCTCTGATAATAAATAAACGACTGCTGAAGCACCCCTAGTCGGTCGTCGCGACCTGGGGATAGATTATTAGTTTCCCATATTCTTGAGAGCTTTTTTAGGCCAGGCACATGGTCGGCTGCACTTGTTTGATCTAACACCGAACTTCTAGTGATACCAACAGAACTCACTAGTTTGTCTGGACGTTTTTAACCTGTTCTATTACATAGATCTTCATCGATGTGGTGACTGGCTCCTGTTTCTATGACCCATTTGCATCCTGGCTAGACCCTCTGTGAGACTTTTGACACTCACAGTGAGTTGTTCTATGACTGGGTCTATTATTGTTTAGTGTCTTGGAAGTGATTTATCGCTCATGATACGAATGGGAGGCCTCTTTCAGCTATTCTATCTGCTAATTTAAATAAAGAGTTGTCCGTGTTTTTAGGATGTAAACAGTATTGGATATAGAATGAGAGTTTGTATCCATTCCTGCTCCATCCACTGTGTTAACGCCTACTAAGACTTGGAAGTGACTTAAAAACTGTAATGGTAATCTAGTGTTTTTCCTTAAGAAGGCCTCTAAACTTCTCGGTCTCTTGATAAAGATAAACGGTTCATTATCTCTCATCTTAAAATGGTGTATGGTTATGTTGTTGGTGCATTTCTTTGTCTACCGAAGGAGAGCGGACAGGGCATAAATCTCCGTAGTGAATTCCCACAGATTTGATGTTGTTTTCCATGAAATAATGCTCTAGTTGATTAAACCGAAACTCAAGGTCACTGCGATCAAATCACGTGAATCTAACTTTCGTACTTATAACAGTCTAACTTAGCAGGTAAAAAATTCACTCATCCTACAGGCTTTCAGTTTGGATTGAGTTTGACACGTGCTGTGCAACCAATATATCAATATAATATGTACGGGGCCAAATAACACGAATACTTTGCGATAAAAAACGGTAGATATAAATATACACATACGAATTTTTGTTAAAGATAATGAGAAGGTTTACATTTAGGATCAAGAAAAAAGCAGAACAGAAATTAACTTTGTGTTCAAATAGAGCTCACAAATTTCCTGCCCGTGTGTACCTCTCATTCTATTGACAGACGAAGTCAAAATATTAGTGAATGGATCTTTATTTAGATAGCGGAACAGAACATCTGGAGCGCGGAGTTATCTTTTCAAGCAAAGAAAGCAAAGATGGATACTGGCTAGCAGTGGAATTCATGAAGCACGTTTCGTCCTATTTGGGTTAGTAAGCTGGGAGTACCTACATCCCATAGTTTATGTTCGGGACTGGAACCATTATAATGTTTGTGACTCGGAGCAATATCAAGGCTGTACGCGCAGGACGCACATATGTTAATAAGAGAATGATCAAGTGTAATCCTAAACATCACTGGGGAGATCCAAACAAATAATGAAAGAAGGAATTAAAACACACAATGTTTTTCAACATTCAGTACCAAATAATGAGAAATATAATGCCTATTCGAAGTAAGGAAATGAACGACTTCTTGAACCATAAGTGTTTGACATTACCAACATATTCGCGGTCAACTCCTAACCGATCGACCTAGATTGTTACAGGCTCAATGCGGCTGGTCAAATGAAGAGTTTTTAAGTGTTATAATCACCTATTCCGCCGTTTCTAAGCCTCACCGACTAGCTTGTCTTCTTTATCGTTGACTAGCCGCTCTGGTTTACTTAATTTCTCTTCTAGTTTCTACGTTATATCATATGATTGTCTCACATTTCCTTCTCTATCAGCTTTTTAGCCGTCGCTGCTAGGTCTTCCGCGTATTTCTGGCCGTCGGCTCTGATGCTCCTTTTCACTTGTTTGTTTGCTTCTGTGTATTCGGCGTGTGCCCTAACTTATCTTAATCTTGTCCGGGTGTTGTTTTTTACTGTCTTCTTGTTCTTTTATTACTGAATCTTGTCCAGGTTTTGGATGAAGATTCACCCCTTACAATGATGTTTTTTGCACCTCAGAACCTACTGGCACATTGAAGTTAGTGCTTCCTTGATCTCTTTCCAATTGTTCTCCACAGTGGTTTACTCTTCTTAGAGTAAATATTGTAAGACTTGGGACCTATAGCTGACGGAAACTTTATATTCGCCCAAGTTGCCAATAGTTCGAAGGAATGCTGACTCTTCAGTTTTTCAGTGTTTCTTTAGCCTAAGTTATATATTTGCGATCATCAGGTAGTGGTCTAAATTTATGTCAGCTCTCCTGGATTTAACGTCTACCGTTGTCCTTCTGAACATTTTGGCGATGCAAATATCATTGATCTGGTTTTCCGTAGAGTTATTCGGTGATGCCTATGTAGCTTCGTGTTTGTGGGAGAATATTGTTTCACCCACAGCCATGTTGGTGAATGCACACAAATAGACAAATCTGTCACCGATTTCGTTCCTTTCTCACAGCCAGTTCATGTGTTAATGATATCTTCATATCCAGTTTTGTCTATATCAACTTTCGTGGTTATAAACGGAATAGAAAAAGCCTTCACTTGATGAGCCTCCGTGTCTAGTAACAGTAGATCACCGAAGCCTCTATGTAAGAAACGAGGTATTTTTACCGATAAAAGCGAAAAAGGGATTAGTAAATTACGGCGAGATACTGTCCTTAAGATTATGTCAAGTTTTCTCTTGATGGACTCCTGGAAAGTCGATTGGACTAGCTCAATCGACAATGAATTCCAACATTTGTCAACTCTAATGGAGTAGACAGTGTGCCTAAAGTCCTTTTTGCCGTGTTGTCTATACAGTTTCTGGGTGGTACCCCTAAGGTTTGTGTTGAGACTGTGTTTAGGATGCTATAAATCATTAGGTCACTTCTAAGACGCTTGTAGTCAAATGAGTAACGATTCATTGATTTGAGGGGATCTTCTCAACACTTGAATTTGAGTTTATAAACTAATTTCGTGGCTCGCCATTGAATACGTTCCGACGTATCCTTATCCTCTGGGAGTGAGGGAGTAAATACTGTTTCCGTACCCTAAGTGGAGTCGAATAAAACGTTTGAGGACTATATGGAAATCTTCTTGATTGAACTGACCAAGATTGCGCTTCAATTTCAGCAGTCCAAGGCTTGCTCGAAAGGCATTCTTGCCGCAGTTAGCGTAGGACCTCAGGTCATAGAGTAACAACACTCCCAGATCTTCTTCAACTTGGATACTTCTAGAGGGGAGTTGAATAAATTGTGTTTGTGGCCTGCAACTTGTCTCAGATGAACAACCTTACACTTTGAAGTGCTATAGATGATTCCGTTGTTGTTAGCACAACTTTAAATTCGAGTCAGATCGTCCTAAAGAAGTTTATCCTCTTGGTAGCAGACTTCTCACCAGAGTTTAACGTCGTCAGCGTAAAGCAATGAATCTGACGACAGTTCTGTGGAAGACCATTGATTTAAATAAAAAAAGAAGAGGTCTTATTACTGTAGGCTGAGAAAAAATGACGTTAACCTAGATCTTAAAACGCCCATTATTTAGAAATGAAGTGAGCCAATTGATAAAACATATGTGATTGACCATATGAAAAGCTTTTGAGAAGTCAAAATATATAACGACAACCTTCTCCTTGTGATCAAGCACGGTTGTCCATTTGTCCACTGTGGTCCGAAGGTTGGTTATACTAGAGTGACCTTTTATGAAACCGCGCTGTTGAAGTGAAAAGAAGTTTACGGATGCTAAGTAGTCACACAAAAAGTCAGATATCCGGGAATCCATAATTTTCAAAGGTATTGAGAGTAGTGCTGCGGTTCGGTAGCCTGATGTTATGCTGCGTCGACCGCCTTAGAAAATAGGTGCGATGTAAGCTAGATTCCAACTTTCTGGTAATGTGCCTCAACTTTGCCAATGTGAGAACATCACTCTAAGCCGTGTTGCCAAGAGTGAAGCTGCTCCCCTCAGCACAGTAGACTGGGTCATATACGGTGTCCTTTTTATGTGCTATAATTTCCGGTACACCAATTCAGCTCTCAGGTTCACTTCTGAGAGTTCTGTTGAATAGTAGTACAGTTTCCACGTAGTATGGAACTAATCACCGTAGAAAATGACACAGCTATCACTCTATATGGTAACTTGGGTATATATTACCATTCTTGTTTGGTTTCCAATTTCGAGATTCTCCCAAGCAAACACAAAATCCCCTTTGATTCCATAAGTAGTGATTCTAACATATCATAATTTTATTAACTGGCAGGTTCGACTGTTCACACGTGACTAGGAACGTTTTCTAACTACTCAGATGCAGATCACAAGGAATAAACAATTTGCTAATTCCTATAAGGAAATTTGATGTTTTAGGTGATTTTTGTCCTTTAGGTATTGAGGGGATCAAAAAAACACTTGCACCATTGTGCGTAACCAAGGTCTATGAGACAACCGAAATCAAAATTCCAAACCTAAAACTGCGTGTTTCTTGTGCTTTATGTTGTCTTTGAGTTTGAAGCTTGTTAATATGTACCTGTTATGAGGGTCAATCAGCAAGGCGGCTGTTGGTCGGTTGACTTTTTATGGACCATGGTACAATAAGGGTTTTAGCCCTAGTGGAGGTTTAACAGTTAGATAAAACCGTGTCCGACTTAAAATATTTGAATTATGTAAAGGAGTAAGACTGTTCTATATTCAAAAACTCCATCTGAGACATGTCTCAAATCAAAAACACTAGTAGTCTTTAGACACTTATCTAAAGTTTGTTACCGCAATAAAATGACTTTTGAGCAAACCCTGCACTTTAAATGTTAGAGCGCGGGTTTGACAGTAAAACGTCCTACCTATTCCTTAAAAGTTTTCTCGGTGAGACAACATATGGGCGACCTATGAACACTAAACTGACCTTGAAATGTCCGCCTACTTATTAGAATTAAATGAGGGTTATAAATTGGTGTGAGGAATTAGAAATAGGATTCACGGTTGGATTAAGGTTTGGAACTTAGATTTAATGTTTTCATCACGAGCTAATTTAGCTATAATGCTAAAAATGGTATTTGACCAAATTCGTGGACAAGTCCTGCGTCAAAATCCAAGATATACTATCTTAAATCTGACCGGTTTGCTCATAAATTACAGTTTCTTCTGTTTTAGTTCCGATCTGCAGGAGTAGTAGTTTAAGTCTATCTTGTCAAATAAATGACTTCCTTTTAGTCGATTTAATCTATCAAACATGACTGTTGGGTGGTTGACACTATGTTTTCAAGCAAAAGGTTCAAGTTATCAGCTTAATATGGATATCGGTAGTTATCTAGGAAATTATTAACTTTGATTTCATAAGATTTTGTGTATCCACCTTTGAGAAGCTCAAGACAAACAAGTATGTTAAGTTTCAGTTCACTACTAAATTATCAAAAGATTGCAGTAAATTCACATCAAGTCGTTCCATATCATAACTGCAAGATGTTTATTTCGGTTGTTCTGACATCATGTTAGGATCCGGAATCATTTTCGTAGCTTTTAGGTCCTTCCTCAATGGCGCATCACTTGATCATTAAGTCAGGTTCATATCCATATCTACCTATTACCATTTGGCAACTAGGCAATCACACCGGCCACCGCAGTAAATTATGGACAAAATCTTGTAGTAGTATACATGATGACTTCTTACTCTAAATGTTTTTGGTTTTGTCACATATTTTCCTAGAAATAACTTCATACGGATCTTCAGGGATTGCAATTCCAGAGATTATATCTTATATTTCGAACACGGATAATATGTTTAAGACTAGTAAAGGTACAAACAAATTAGTCGTTTAAATATATTGAGTAACAATACAGGGATGTTTGCGACATATTTTCTTTACTCTAAGTATTAAATGTTGCTTGCTGCTTCTCGACTTTCTGAGTTAAAATCATGTGTTGTATATGTTATTTGCAGCGTAATTTCTGCAACGGCCTCTAAACTTATTCCGATGAAATCACCTGTATTTTCCGCTTCCAGACGGGGACTTTTAGCTTATTCAACCCCATCTACGGGTCGGCCTCGTATTTCATTACTTTGAGGATTGGCTCAGTAAATAGCCCCCGAAATTCCTGGTACGGCCGAAGGTAGTGAGGGCCTGCTCTCCCTCTCAAAATGTTCTCATATGGTCTCGCGTTTAAAGTCACTGCTGGGGATGTTCTGCTCATTGTATTCTCGTGGTGAGGGTGTTTGCGAAATTGAGATGAAAAACACCTAAAGCGGGTTGGAGGGTATGGCGGATCCTCCAACGGCGGTTGGGGAACATTGATTTTGAACCAATGATGCACATGGGTTCCAGGATCCTCAGGGAACAAATGGTGTACGAACCTAATGTTGATCACCGCTTATTATTTATTTAAATAAATAAACATTGGTACAAGAGGGCACCGAATACATATGCGCCACATGAATCATTTGATTTGTGTGAGGGCTGGGATACTGTCTTGGTTCCCAAATCGAAGCAGGTGGTTTTCTTAGGTGGCCACACCCCGAGCCTCTGACCTGGAGGTTTAATCCACGAGGCGGTGGAGCAGCTTTAGGAAATGCAGCCCCATGGTAGCCGGCTCATACACCCTTTGTTCCGTCAGGATCCTGCAGCCTATGTGCACCATGAGTTTTGAATCAGGATTTTATAACTCCCTTAGGTGGACCCACCAACCGAGTTAAAGCGCCGGACATTCGCTTTTTGTCCCCTCACTCTAGTAAACAACAGTAATGCCGCGGAAAGGCAGTGAGTAGGAGTTCTTTGACAGTGGTTGTATGCACGTGGCCATGTGAGAGAATTTTGAGAGGAAGAGCTGACTCTCCCCACCCTCGGCCGTATTATTGCATTTGGGGTTTTCATCTCCTAACGCTACTCCACCGCCTTGTGGATTAGACCTCTAGGTCAAAAGCTTGGGGAGTAGGCTTTTAGGAAGGCCACCTGTTTCGGTTTGGCGACGTGGACATAATCTCAGCTCACACGCCAAGTGAGTGATGACTACTTTTTGCGGTGCATGTATATTTTGGTCCCCACTGTACCAATGTTTTCGTGTTTAAATTAATAATAAAAATACCGAAAAGTCTTCTTCAATATCTGGTCTATAAGTGACAAATTCACAAGTGAAAGCAACTTTTTAGTCCCTGGTTAATCTTTTCTACCTGAAGAGATGATTCCTTACTATTTGAAGGGTAGATATACTCCGGAGTAATAATAACACACTGTCCATATTTTTTATTCCTCAGTGTTTTTGGGACTGCAAGAACAAGAGGTCTGTTATGACGTTTTCCCTTTTTGGATTATTGTGAATGGGAAAGGATTTATACTATTATAAGTTCGGAAATATACGTTGAAATGTACTCATTTGAAGGGAATTACAAATCAAAGCGATCATTAGTGCTTGATCATACCCAGAAGGTAATGCTTTATTCATGTATTTATTTACTTATTTTAACAAACATAACATTTGCGGGTTGTGATAAATTCGTTTTATTTCACAGAATCGTTGTTGGCTACATGCAAACTGTGTAAGATGTATTCATTATGTAAAAAACAAATGTAACTCATCTGTAGGATACGAATGTGTTTAGTTCATATCTTGTAAACAAAACATGGGGAAAATAGTGCTATTGAAATACCGCTAGTAACGATAGAAGTGATATTTGGAGTAGGGATTAAAAATAATGTGTAAAATATCGGTTCGGGAGTTGAAAGCTACCATCTTAAAATTGCTTTGGAGCACTGTTGCGCGGGAGGTTTTAAGTTCGGTGAATAGGTTTTAAATTGTTGGATGGATAAATAAGATGTTGATTTATTGATAATACAATATGAATGATAAATAATTGTTCACCAAACGAAGTTGTAGACACAGGCCACAATTGGATTGATATCAAAAGACAAGATAACTAGCTAACGCAGTATTTTTAGTGACAACATATGTACAAAACACTAGATACAACAATAAATATGATTAAATGTCATAAGTTATTGAAGTATATGAGTTTGATAGGCCACTCACTTGCCAGTTAATTAAGACCAGATTGTTAGTTTTATTTCCTACTCGAATCAAGTACCAAGAAATTAGATTGACAACTACTACCTTTAACACAAGCAGTTAAATTATTTTGTCTCATGACAATTACAAACTACTCAAGTATATTAATGTTATTTTCTGTATTAGTTATATGGTAAATAGTACTGCGCATAATACCTTGACCTAAGATATTAATCTCTTGGTATATAATTAGACAGTTCAAATAGTCTAAAGTTCCCCTATCATTTCGATTGATTTACTGCAACACGCGAATTGAAGAATGTGATTGAGTGGAACAACTGTAAGTACCTTACTAATTTTCGACTCTGTAACCAGGTGTGCTAGCAGCTGGATAACAGCTGTTCATTTCAATTTCACTCAACCTGTTGGTTTTATTCGCGATTCTGTTGTACTTAGCATTTAACTCCGTGATGTGAAGTTGTGACGTATAGTTGAAACATTCAACCTTCAGCCACTGGGTCCCATGTTCGAATTCCATTACAACTTTATCTCGTTTTGAATAATTTATTCTCATAAAACGGTTAAATTATATTGATTGATATGTAAATATTTTCAAGGTAAAGTGATATTCAGGTCCCTAGTATTTGGTTGTGCATGTCTTCAAAAAATTGCTAGCATATAATTAGATCATCAAGTAATTTACATTTATATTTGGCTGAAGATATTGAGTTAATATGATGAATCAGTATGTGAGGTATTATACCTTCAACTTATCATCCTAGATATGTGTATCACATTTTCCGACCACCGCTCATCCCGATACCAAATGGTAATTACTTCAGAAGTAAGTTGTAAAGGTTTTAGGAACGGACAAATCAAGATTTAGAGTCAATTTACGAAGGCACTGATCATTGGACTGGTCTGTGTTACTGAGCGGAGACTTTTTGGTTAGGATTTGGGTCACGCAGCACCACGAATAGGCTGAATTTAGGAATGTGAACTATCGGATGCCAGTTAAGTAGTATGAAGTTTAAATGCTCATCGTGAGGTGTGAGGGTCCTGCGTTCGATTCCAGGTAGGGTCGTGGACAAATAATTGTTAGGAGTCCCATACGATGACGAAACAAATGTTTATCGGTCCTTGGTTTTCAGTTGTCTAACTAAAGTAATCCCGTGGTGTGAAACTATGGGATTGTGACATGTATTTGGAGACGTTCATCCAGGTGATGGGACCCGAAAATGATCACAGTAACTGTGGTATGTGTGTTATGTATCCTCCTCTTAGTCTAAATCTTGAGTTTAGTGTAATTTCATAATTTCCATTTTTCGTTGCTAATTGTTTCTCTTGGTCTATGTTTCTTTTACCTTTCCACTGTATCTTACATTATTCTCCATTTTCTATTACTTGCTATTATCCTATCACTATCCTGGTGTGAATAATCGTAACCTTACTATTACATATTTATGCCCTGTCGTACATTATAATCAGTTAATAGTTTCGTATTACTGCGCTGATTTGGCGTGTAGACTTGAGCCGATACACATTTGTACTAGGTTCTGCGTTACTTACGATGAACCAATTGATTGAATCTGTTGTTTCCCATCTCTCATCCTCCTTAATACAGTCACAAGCAACGCGAAACCTGGCAGATATATGCATCGGTTCAAGTTGTTACACCATATGATCACGGTGAGATGAAATCCTCAAGAAAAATTCCGGTATGATGAAAGTAGTATCAATATCAGTAGTAGTAGTAGAAAAAATGAGGCTTAGGAAATCTGATTCGAGATGAGTGAAGGATAAGTTCACTGAATAAACAGTTGAAGATTACTTTAGAACTCAAGATCCATTAGAAAACAGAGTGAATCCACCTGTATTATCGCAAACGATTCTGAGCTGTATCATTCAACATCTTCAGATATCGGTTATTGTGTTCGCGCAGATTCCAACCGGTTGGTCTCCATCTATCAACACGCCTTACTCCAGTAGTCGATGACTCTTTGAATTGATGCCAAGTTTTGGTTTAGCTACCTCTAGCTTTATTTTGACTCACTCCTATGCCAGCAAATATTACCTGTCGAGGTTGGTAGTGGTTAAACATACCCAATACATGTCCCAAGTACCACAATCGATCGAGGTTCACCATATCATCAACTGATTTATCATCTTTACCTGGTACCATGCATTTAATCTTAGTATTGATCACTTAGTGGTCTCAGTATACACGAGTACTGCTTCGAAAGTATCTATGATCATCTACAAGTAACCTATGATTGATCATGTCTGTTAACCATAAAGCAAGACAGGACGATTCGTCCTTCTTGTTTTACCATAGAGTACCTATAGTTTCTAATTTTCCTATTTTAAGGTTAGTTATTATTATTATTTTTGGTAAACTTAATTAGAAATCCCTAGCAAATTGTTTTTTCCTCCTTACACACCACAGTTGTCAACTCATGCGCTTGTTCAAAAAACACGTGAAGAACGAAAGTCACGTGAAGTAAGTATTATATAATTCAATTTATATATCTAAAATAAAATATGAAATTGACATTATGGTTTGTTTCATACCTTTTCATTGTGTCGTTCATGAGTCAGTCAGTCAGTAACAACGTAGAACTTCGTACGCACGTACATCAGTTCGAGTTGCCATACCACATTAACACAGAGATGCAGTTCGTTCATGAACGAATTGAAATTTCTTCAAGTAAAAAATATGATTTGTTTTCTGAATAAAGAATGGATAAAGACTGAATATTGAATAACGACTTTCAGATAAATCCTATGATATGTGAAAGTTGGAGATATGATCTAGTTTTTTAAACAAATTGATTTCATGAAATTAATAATTGTGGGTCTGGATTACGTAACAGAAAAATTGTACACTATCCAGTTGAAGACATTAACTGAAATGAATCAAAAATGATTACAGTAGCAAGAACTAGTTCATAATGTTTGTTTTTAGTTATTGAACACCTTTATACTGTATATTTTTCGTATCCCTCTTCTCCACTTATGATTTTCTTGTTGATTTAAATGTACTTTCATGCTACATTTTAATAGTTGGAGTTCCTTGTGGACCTCCGCCTCATTTGGTGGATCAATCGTCACCGGCCATGGAGGGCAGGACAGTCTGACCGATGCTGCCGGAGCAGCAGGGCAGTTGAACCGCCCTTCAAAAAATTCTGCCTATCGTCCAAGACGTCGATGGATGTTAGTGATTGGCATCCCATCATCCTCACAAATTGTTCAGCTCACACCAGACTTCTTGCTGCCAGTGGCTCGGATGAGTTGGAAGAGCTTTCGGTAATTACCAGATGCAGCTGCTGCTTCCAGCTCATTAGCACACTCCGACCACCAGGCTCCTCGGTCCTTACTCAAGCTTTCCTTACGTAACAACCTTCGTTTGTGGTCAAACTCACGGTCACCCGAAGTAGACCGACGGGCTTCAATGAGTTGTTAGGAACCAGAAGAAACCCAGTGCTTATAAGCGGGACGTTTCGCGAACCCACAACTGACTGTACCCGCCATTTTGATGGCGTCATGAAGTTGCGACCAATGCTCATCTATACTTTTCCGTGGAATGGTAGCTAGCCTAGAAGCTAGCTCGGTTCGATACTTACTTGCAACAGAAGTTGCAACCAGCTTGCTAACATCAGTCCGTTGGTGGCGGTCACTTCGTTGTCCACTGAAAAGTAAGGTAAGATTGGCGCAGACCAAGGCATGGTCAGAGTCCAGATAGGTACTCCAAAAGGAGCGGCAGTCTTTTACACAACCACACCAGCCGTAGCTGATTGCTATGTGATAAATCTGAGTCCAGGCCTGAGATGCAGAGGGAGGACTTCAGGTGGCACATCGGCGATGACTGTGCCGAAAGTTAGTGCTAGCCAGAAACAGGTTGTGGTCTGTGCACAGTTGCAGTAGACGGTCCCCGTTATCTGTCCTGCGACCAACAAGTCCCCATCGGCCACCTAAACGACTCTCTTCTGTTCTTAGACGTCCGACCTGAGCATTCAAGTTTCCGGCTAGTACTACAATATCTGCCGAACGCACTTTCTGGAGAAGAACAGATAACTGGTGGTAAAACTCATCCTTGATCGCATCCGGGCTGCAATCTGTCGGGGCATAGGCGGAGATGACGAAAAGACATCGTTTCTCACTTTGATGGAGCTCTCTAATCTAACAGCACATAACCGACTGTTAATGGGAACCCAGTCGGTTAGTGCTGCCTCAGCTCTAGCGCTTAGTGCGACACCAACGACAGCAAGACCAGACGAAGATGCCACAGGGTCCCCGGATAAGCGCACGTGAAACAAGCTTTTCGAAGCGACAAATGGAGAGGGAATTTGAAGTACTTCACCTGAGTCTTGAATACGGGTCTCGGATAGACAGCAAACATCAATATTAAGACTTTCCAAAGACATAGCCAGCCCTATCTGTTGTTCGACCTGCGTAAGTGTGCGAAAGTTGAAGGCAGCCAGTTTGAATGGTGCACGTGGTTTCAGAAAAACTGCTTCAGTCCTCGTATTCGGTGGTAGCATACAATTATCAACCAGGCAGTGACTCGATAACGTTTAGATAGAGCCGAATTTCCACCACAGGCGAGCTGCCGTATAGGTCGAAAAAATAAGTATAAACAGAGTGGGAATAAAGGAGGGTGAATAATGACGTAGTAAATAATAATAATAATAATAATAATAATAATAATAATAATAATAATGATAATAATAATAATAATAATAATGTGAATCATTTGAATGTTCGTCGAAGCAAGAGAATTAGTTTTCATGATCATAGACAGTTCAGTTCATTAATTGTGTGTGGGCTGCGATACTACCCGGGTGCCCAAACCGAAGCAGGTGGTTATTTTAGGGGGCCACACCCCGAGCCTTTGACCTGAAAGTCTAACCCACAAGACAGTGGAGCATCGTGAGGAGATGCAGTCCCATGGTAGCCGGTGACCGAAAATTGGTTCATACGTCATTTGTTCCCGCAGGATACTGGAGCCCATGTGCACCATCGGTTTGGTTGGAAATCCAGTTAAAGCGCCGGACATTTGCTTTTCGTCCTCTCATTTTCGTAAACAACACCCCGGGTGTGAGAAGGCAGTGAGTAGGACTTCACTGGCAGAGGCTGTATAAGCGTGGCCGTGTGAGAGTATTTCGAGAGTTAGAGCGAACCCACCCCACTCTCGGCCATACCAGGGCATTTGGAGGCTTTATTGATTTGGAGTACTGCGGTGTGTGCTACTGATATCGACTGATATAAGTAGTATGTATCGTCAATGGAAAGTGAAATATCTGTAGGCAGAAGGTTAAGAACTTAGAAAAGAAAACGAGAACAAAGAATGATTGATGTGGAAACGAAAGAACAATGAAACAAGAGATGATTGATTAACATGTTGCAAAAATGAATTATTTTTAGCGTATGATTCTCAGGTTTTACTAAGATGTTCTGTAATTTTGTGTTAAAATACATTCGATTGTCCCTTTACTTATGCTCTCGTTCACTACAGTACAACAATACTTGTGGTGAATGACATATAAATACGATGAAAATAAGAACTATATAGTAGAATTAAACTTGTCTTCTCACAAATATTGTTTGATATAAATTCACTTAGTATTGTTTGGCTTGTATCTTCCCATTGAGGTTTAAGACTGCAAGTGACCCGTCTGTTATTGGCGTACGTGCATACTGTACGTATGCCTCGACATTGCATTAAATCACAAGCTTTTAAAAGCAAAGATAGGTAGTGGCTAGCAGTGGAATCCAGGACGCGCGTTTCGTCCTATCGCCACTATCCATCATTGCTTACAAAAAGCTTGCGAATTAAGGCAATATCGAGGCATACGCACAATATGCTAATAACAGACTGATCATTTGCAGTCTTAAACCTCAATGGGAAGATACAAGCCAAACAATACCAAGTGAATTTAAATTCACCCCATTGCACAAGCAAGTGGCTATCAGGACTCAGTAGCTGAGTGGATAACGCGATGACGTTTTAAGCGAATGGTACCGGGTTCGAGTCCCAGAGTGAACGTGAACTCTGAGACGCAGGTACATCCAGCCGATGAGCCCCAAATAGGAGGAAATGCACGTCCTAGATTCCACTGCTAGCCACTATCCACCATTGCTTACAAAAATTGTTTGATATAGTTTGTTTTTCATCAAAGTAACACATTATATTGTTAATGAAATAAAGTGTGTTATTTCACAATTCTATCATTTTCTATGTGTATGTGATTAGAATATGGTCAAACAAGAACGTGCCGCTACTAAAATTCAAAAATGTCTCCGAGATTATGTTGCACGAAATAAAATGGTAAGATTTCTAAACTTAACTAATCATTTGCATTTTGTTGATGTATATAATACCGTCAGTCGGTAACATTGCAGAACTTCCGACGTACATACATCAGTCCGAGTTTCCATATAACATTAGCATAGAGACACAATTGTTGATTCAAATCTTTTAATGGTAGTAAAAGTATAAGGAGTAATCGGAAAGATTAGGGTTTGAGTTTATTATTATTATTTGGATTTGATTTGTCAAATAATTTCGTCTATTCATCTGTACATAATATGGAATACAGTAAATATAATAAAGCACATAGAACTGGTAAGAAATAAGTATACAGATGTTATATCCAGACGAGAATAAATGAATAATAACCGTTAGGAATTATGTATGGACTAATGTTATACGAATATTCTTATTGTATGACTATTAAGTAACTATATTAAACGTATATTCATATTTCTTTCATTATGAGCTCTTATTTGACTTATCGACTATTATCATACGATTTACTATTAATGAGATATTCTTAATTAATTAGTCCCAGTTTCTCACAATTACAACCACTTTCTATCTGATATTGTATAACTGTTATTTTATGATATGATGTGATCTGATTTATTTGTATGTAAACTCAGTATGTTTCAAATATTATGATTCGTACCGTGGAAGCTGAGATTGGCGTTCTAGACTTGACAGTCAGGGTTTGGCGGAAGAAGGGCCAATCGAAACTTTAGACTTCTCGTGCTAATGTATGCATCATTAATTTGGTCGTGTAAGTCAATGTATCTAAATTGGGCAATCATATTTCTAGATAGTCATATAAGTTAAGGATATAACAACAGGTATAGAGATTCAGTGATTTAGTCTGTCAACATTTAATCATTTAAAACTGAAATTTGAAACCCGTATCTGATGATAAACATGTCACATTATCAAGTTTTGTTCTGTGATGATGAAGCTACAAAGGACAATTCTATCAACACGACTAAACTATCCAGTTCAGAAAACAAAACTTCATGAAGTGTTGACTTTCAACAAAACTAGTTCGTAAATTTAAACCGATCTCCTTACATACATTGACTTATTTAACTGAATTCTATTTATATATAACACCTTTCAACATCAAGAATTGAATGTAGTTCATTGATGAAATTTATTTCAAAAGTTACATTTGAATTTCATATCAAATTTATATTTTGTAGTGTTATGTCCTGATAAAGATAATAAATGGTAACTTTTGGGATCCATTTATGGATCAATACTATACGTATATTGTTATTATATAACTGTTAAGTGATTAAGCTATTCATACTCCTGTTCCTCTTATCATGAGCTTTATTTTGATTTATGAACTATTATTATACGATTCACCATTCTTGAGTTATGCACTGTTTATCGATTAATACCTCCTACATTCACATCCACTTTTGGTTAGATCTTCTACAAATGTTGTTTCCTATTTTATGGTACGATGTGGTCTGTATGGTTTCTATATAAACCCAGTATATTTGAAATACATGGTTCATATCACAGAGGCTGAGACTGATGTTCTGAATTTAACTGGTGGGGCTAGACCGGAAGCAGGACCGATAAGGACTCTAGACTGCTCGTACGTGTTTTACGCGTCATTGGTCCAATCGATAAATTACTATTCTCTAATTGGCGATATCATTACATTATACATTAACAGGGCACTCAAGCTACAAGTTATAACATGTAGATATCAATTTAATGACTAGTGTTACTTTATTATAAACATATTTACTTGGTTCCATCGTTCTTTTTCTTCCGTCCTTCTCTCTCTCTCTCTGATGAACATTCTTTTAATTTTCTAGAAACGTTACTTTATTGGATTATTGAATGAATTATCTAAACAATTAGATGATATAGTAAATAAAACTGGTTTCAATGTGGAGCATGAATTTGAACACAAATTATTGAAGTTACTTCAATGTTTCAATACATGCTATCGTAATAAAAGTCCGGAACAAAAACATCTTGTAAGTTAGGATGTATGTATTTTTGTTGTTGTTGTTGTTTGTGTAAAAGTCAAATATGAACTGAAAGGCTGTTTATATTCCATTTTGTTTACAATTCACCTTTTTTTCATGAATACAACTCAAGTAATAAAGTATGGATTTATGTTACCCAGCTTTGAAACACTTTTCTGTGAGGACCAATAGTAGTAATTTGGATCCTTAAACTGATGTAGATTCATTGAAATTGAAGCCTGAACCATAATGGTTGGAAGTTAATTACGCTGAACAGTAAGCCACTATAATCCACCAAATTGCTGTTAGAGGTGTAATGAAGGTTGTCACTTCTCGGTTGGCCATATCATGGAAGAATACTTCTTGAAAAACTTTAAAAGGAGACTGGATTAGTAGTGATATTGATGGCTTTTGAGCGTGTCTGTAGAGTACAAGACAACCGTCTGAGGCCGGTCACACACTACCTTTTAGCAAGTAGTTGTTGGTTAAAGGTTTAGCCATGAGACAAGGTGTAGTCTGCCATTTTCGAGGTATAAATCTTTTAAGTTCATCCTCCCTTTTTTGAGTGGTCCGAGAGATGGTGCGACACAGTTGCTAGAAGCGTTATCCGATATGGCTCAGAATAAAAGCCAGTGGCGATCCTGCTGTAACCTTTTACTTTCTTCATAAAGAGTGGTTGCTTCTTTCTTAACTGAAAGATCTCTTCTGATGGTACGTTTCCCTCTCCCCCATTATTATTGTTACTATTATTATTATTATTATTATTATTATTATTATTATTATTATTATTATTATTACACTACCTTACACTAATCTGGTCGTTATTGTTCTTTTTTTCTTTTACGGTCTTTATCTCCTTTTTTTCTCTTCCCATTCTGATAGTTTTGTATGGCGCTTACATATTTGATACCCTCTTGTACCAATATTTATGTGTTCAAATAAATAATAAATAAAATCCCTTTTTGGAAGGAAATATTGGTTCACATACTGTGATAATGGAGTATGACAACTTGAACCGACGTATATAAGTAAAAGTTCTATGTTGTAACTGACTGATCGCTGTTTGTTTGAAGGAAACATCCTGATACTGTCACACTTCAGTAAAGTTGGTATTATAACTTCTTCAATTCTTAGGTTTGCTACTTTTTAACATTACCGCTCTTCAGCCGACTATCCTGGTGTGATAAAACCTACAGGAACTAATTTTCCAACCAATATATTTCTACTAGGTCACTATGATATGATAGCCTGACAACACTACATCAAACTATTAACCATAGTCGACACCATAATCTACCGAAACTCACTTATTGAATACCTTTTAATCCAGTGAATCATTGATTTCAATCTTCGGTAAACCATTCCAAGGTAGATACTGATGCTTCCTACAATAATCAGTTCCAAATAGGAAGAAACAAGGGAACCTGCTGAAACCCCATTGACCACATACCTTTCAAATGTGAACATAAAGCAATGGATTTTACTGTTTCAGATTTATTCTAAGTGAAAAATTACGTCTGTTGACAAAATTCAAAGGGAACTACCATGGTGGGTAATTTATTTTCCTTCTAGCTTTCTTTGTTTAAGAGCAAGAGACTGTCACATTTGAATTTATGTATTACATGAATATGCGACAAAAATACTGTAGTATTTACAATTGGTTTGAAGACAGAAAAGATATCTATTTCGTCCTAGTCTGGAGCTCTTCAATAGTATGTGCTCAATTGAGTTACCACTGTATTAATTTCTAATTGATTCATTTTATTTCTCAAATATATATTTTTTATCAATTATCAAAATTTCCATAATATCCACCAAACTCTTTCTGACATTAATCAATATTTGTTCACTAGCGACGGTCTCCAAGTGGTATTTCCTGGAGTTCTAGTGAGAAGCAGTGACCAGTGGATTTCAACCATGTCTGATATGAGATAGTAACTCACTGAAGACAAAGGTGGATATGTCGCTAAATTTCGTGGATTAGTTGAAGTTAGACATTAACACCGTTGGATGCCGGCCGACTCAGTGGTCTAATGGCTAAGCGCTCGCGAGGCGGGCTCGTGGATACACACTACAGAGGAGTCCCACAATAGGACGAAACGGCCGTTCAGTGCTTCCAGGTTTTCCATGGTGGTCTAACTTCAATTGACTTATGATCTCAACAAGCAAATTATATATTTTTGGCATCTATAAAATAATTTTCTTGTTTTTTCTCTGTATTCATACCATAGTTTACTGTTTGTCGTTTATTATTGTCCAAACATGGAAAAGATGCACAAGTCAACTGGTTAACTAATGGTTCTGTTGATCATATTTTCACACTAGGAAATTCGTTATTAATCAACATCAAGTGAGTTCCCATGACGCTTTCTTGTTTTTACGTTGATTACGTCTTTGATCTGTTTACCCACTTTTGGTGCTTAGGGTACTTGTTTAATCTAGATTAAGACCTTGACGCGATACGCTGACCGGCTTAACTTTGAGGCTAGTACGCGTGAGTTCGAAGTGGGTTAGAGAGAAGGGAACTATTCCATTACCTGATTGGTGACAAGCACACGAGTGAGAGAAGACAATTAAACTGGAACACGAAACGATTTATTTCCAGTTCCGATCTGGTGCCTGTTTTCAGATCAGTGTAAAAACATACATGAATAAATAGATGACTAACCAGATCACAACGTACAATAATTATGAAAATACAATTATGTCCAAAACTGGAGATTATTAGCGTAGAAAATAGAGTACAGAATAATACGTTTAAATTACAATAGCTTTGGAACAAAAAGGGCTATGGCAGTAAATCATACATCAAACGAAAGCTTATGGATATGTGGAATAGACTAGGGACAAGATTAAATACTATTGTTTTACAAGCTTTGAATTAAATGAAATAACGTCCCCAAAAAATAGCTTCCGTAGTTTGTCAACGCTTCTTGTTTCTCTGTTCACATCTCTCTGCTACCTCAGTTATATTGTTCTTCGATCAAGCACATTAGGAGTTTTAACGAATCATCTAAGCTCATATTGACTTTATTCACATACTTATCTTTGTTCATTATAATTATATTTCAGTCGAATAATAATAATAATATCAGAAGGGGTCTTTTGGAGATTGCAGTAATTCCAATAGTTGAGATCATGAGTCAATTGAAGCTGGACCACAATGGAAAACCCCTTCTGATACTAATCAACATATGCTCACTAGTGACTAGCTTTAAGATGTATATCCTGGAGTTATAGTGAGTTCAACTGGGTCAGTTGTGAGATAGTAACTCACTGAAGACAATGATAGATGTGTCACTCGATTTCGTGGATTAGTTGAAGTTAGACATTAACACTGTTGGATGCCAGCCGGCTCAGTAGTCTAGTTGTTAAGCGCTCGCGTGCGACACTGATAAGTCCTGTGTTGGAATCTCGCGAGGCGGGATTGTGGATGTGCGCTACTGAGGAGCTCTATACTAGGACGAAACGGCCGTCAAGTGCTCTCAGGTTTTCCATAATCGTCTAACTTCAATTGCCTCATCATCTCAACTATTGAAACGATAATGTTTTAATTCTGCATGAAAAATTGGGAAGCTTCTTGGTGATCTTTAGATAGGACTTTTCATTGTGGAATTTGAGATATCTTGTATTGATTAGTAATATTAAGAGATTTTAATTAAACTTGTTTTTCCTCATCCATTCTACTTCTGGTTCAGAGAATTGATAATATACATTCTCGAACTGAGTTTCTATATCAATTCTGTTAGTGTATCTTCTTAGAATGTGAAATTTTAATCGAACCTAATGTGCTTCCATCAAGTAAAGACTTAATATGTTTCCAATAAACTTCCCAGGATTTTCAGGAATACTTTCGTATAGTTGATCTTTAAAAAGGGTTTTTGATTATGTTTGCTCAAGGTTTCGTACATACTCTTGTCTAGATCTCTCGGAAGAAATTCTGAAATTCAATTTCATGTTGCCTATTTTTCACTACTAGCCAATTTTTATTTATAGTTTATTCGACACTGTTTGATTCTGTAGTGAACGAAAACTGAGTACGGCAAACCAATTTATTGTTTTATGCAAAATCAAACAGTGCCTTTGTAAAATATGATGATCATACATTAAATACATTATTTGCATATCTTCTTTGAGTTGTCCTTTACATACTCCAGTATTCTTCTAATCCTGTTTTTATTCCGATCGCTTTCTGTTTTCTTCCCACTTCTCATAATTCCAATCTCTTTCTAGAAAGCATTTCACTTCCAATTCTTGCTACATACTACTTATGTCTGTCCGCACCACAATGCATGTATCCTAATAGAGATTGATTAGTTGTAGTTTCGAATATCAACGATTGGATGATAAAAACCCTTACATGTAAGAAAGTTACACGCTATCTGCATTCAGTGGTTTAGTTGAAAATAAACTAACATTTGAAGAGACAGGTACTGGGCCCAAGTCTCAGTGGCAACATAACCACGGAGATATTGTTACATTCATCTGACAATTCCCAAATGGGACAAAACTCACTGCCAGGATTCCATTTCCAAACACTATCCAAAGTCTATATTCTGTTTTAAACATATACAGCTCAGAAACCATAATCAACAATCCTTCTCATCCTATACAGTTTTCTAATATACAAACATTTATTTGTTATTTATTTATTTTAACACATAGATATTGATACAAGGAGGCACCAAATACATATGCGCCACACAAATCTAATTTGATTTGTGTGAGGGCTGTGATACTGCTCGGGTGCCTAAACCAAAGCAGGTGGTTTTCTTAGGGGGCCACACCCCGTAGCCTTTGATCTAAAGGTCTGATCCACAACGCAGTGGAGCAACGTAAGGAGATGCAGTCTTATGGTAGCTGCTGTCAATTAACTGGTTCATACGCCATTTGTTGCCCAGGATACTGGAGCCCATGTGCACCATTGGTTTGGAATCAGGGTTTTCCGACTCCCCTAGATGGACTTTCCATATCCATCAACCCGGTTAAAGCGCCGGACATTTGCTTTTCGTCCGCTCAATTTTGTGAACAACACCCTCGCCACGAGAAGGCAGTGAGTAAAACTTTCCTGGCAGAGGCTATATACGCGTGGCTATGTGAGAGCATACGGAGAGAGAGAGAACTGACTCTCCCCACTCTCGGCTATACCAAGGCCATATACAAATCATTTTACATGATTTAATTTCGCTACTGTAAAACACTAAAATCCCTTTTATTATTTCATTTTTTCCTTTAAAGATATTTAACAAAACTTCCATCATTAACAACATCATCAAACTATACATTACCGATTCGTGTATTAGAGGAATCATTCAACATTTTAATCGGAACTTGTTCATCTACAAAAATCTCTTTATATTCAAAACAACTATACTTCAGTATTGAAAGGATTTGTCGACATTTATCAAAGCATCATTATTTTAATCATTTGGCTTATTTTATGGATCAACAATTACCAACTACAACTGGTGGTTCCCTTAAAGATATCACTACACAATCACAAGTATTTGATCCTGTGGAATTTTTTAAATTACCAAAAACTCGTCCGTTTATTAATCTAATAATTGCACCGTTGAAATGTGCTTTTAACCTATCAGATAATGGTAGTCCATTTTCTGTAAGTGATAATTATTTTGTTGTTGATCCTTCAATGACATATAAGTATACTGATTGATGATTGAATATTCTATTTTACTTAATACGCTTAAAATTTGATACAATTTGATACTAAAACTAAGTATGCACTACTCAAAATAAAAGGAAAAAAACATTGTGAAAAAAGGTAAAACAGGAAAGGAAAGCTCAGTAAAGAAAAAAACAACAATAGGGAGATACAGTTTAGTTTAAAAAATGCAACCAAGAAGGACTTCTTTCAGTTAGTTAGGGGCGACAAGACCAAAATTTAGCATCGTCTATAAAGTCATAAACTTCTTGTCTGAGCCATGTTGGGAGATGCAGACTAGTTGGTTGGGGTCCGCGCGACTATCGTAATCAATGGTTGGAGATTCTGGGTGACATGGCTCAGAATCGATTACAATGGTGTAGGTGTGTACACTCTTTGTCTTCCTTTAAACTGTGAGATTAAAATTATTTTATACATTTCTTTCTGCAAATTAATTCTTTCTCCTTGTACCATATTCTCATATACAATCTTTTTATATATTAATACCAGTGAAGTAACTGCTTCTATGAATTCGTTGTTGTGCTTATGAGGTATGGCAACTTGGACCGATGTATATATGTGCCTCGTGCTACATTGTAGCTGACTGACTTCTTTCAGTTAAGGAAGTTCCTCACTTTTGTGGAGAATCCTTAAGTAAATAATATCAGGACAGCTACTGGCTTATATTCTGAGTCATCTTTGATGACATCTCAATCCCTTCAGTAATGCCATTTTTAAAACGACCTCAACCAGTTAGTCGTAATGGAACAACAGTTGCCAGTATTGTAAAGCTTTCTTTTGTGCCATAGCATCATATTATGAGTTGATCGCCTCGCTACTTTTTCCACCCAGTTCCAGTGTCGACAATTGATGCATTATGTGAAATTCATTAGGATGACATTCTTGACACATGCAAAGCACTGAAGCTAGTGTGGACTTATCGTCACGGTGACTGAACACACTTTGTTACACCTCCCACATTACTAATATAATGTTGTTAATGGATACTAGTAAACTTTCAGAGACAATGATAATTGAACAGAGAGTTGCCAAACATTCTCAGTTTGCGTAGATGCCTTCATGTTGTTTACGATCATATCTTAATTATCGTTTTATTAATGAAGGGCAATAAATTACTAGTAATCGACTGTGTAGTTAAATATTTATCTCACAGTTATACTTGTTATATACAGACTGTTTATATTTACAATGAAAAAAGTACACGTTTAGTGATAGTTGGTGTTATAATCCTCTATTATTCCAACCCAGCTATTCTTATTGCTTAGTATTCTTGGACACCAATTCACTCGACAAGTCCCGAAATCAGAACACGGTTGAACAGGAAAGAAATTATATTCCAAATAACAAGGGCAGATGGAAGTAAGAAGCACAATAAGAAAAACGTTAGTATGTTTATAGTTTTTACATGAGAAGTTTCTAGAGTGTTCTTCAAGCGTAGACTAGCGCTGATTGGATAAGGATTATCCAACATTAGCTGCTACCTTGACGCGGTGGTCGGGCTTGCCTATTGGGATGACCCAACCGAGCTATATTGGCTGGAAAATATGTTCCTGTAGGTTCTACCATGCCAGGCAGGTCGATTGGAGAACGGTAAGACTAAAGGCATCAACTCAAGGTCTGAGGGCGAAGTCGTACTGCTGACTGTAGAGAGGTGTGACAGCAGTAAGGTGTTTCCCTCAGACAACCAGCATGACAGCGATGCTGCCTTCCCACAAGGAGGGGTGGGGTTAGAAAAGGTCGACCCTAAAAATGTCACACCTCACCTTACCTCACGGATTTCCGTCTCCGGCGGTAAGGCTCTTTGAAGAACGGAGCTAACATGTCAAAAACCTCCCACAAAAAGGCCGTGCGCGACCCGCCTCAAGCAGTTGTCCCTTGGCCTCTGCGGTCACGCTCCCAGGTCGTTAAGGCCAACATTAATGCTTGTTATTTACTACAATCAACAAAATTGTTTATATTCTCTTCTCTTCTACCCGTTAACTAGAGTAAAGAGTACAAATTTGTATAGAGACTTTAGAAGAATCGAATCATATTGAAATTTATTCGATTATATGTAGATTTGGTAAATGTTAAGATCGATTTTTTTCCCTTCATACTTTATCTTTGAAAATGTCACATTCTCAACAAGGTAACATAATCAATCAACAAAATAAAAAGAAGCAGAGCTCTACTACTAGTATAAGTAATACTTGCTTAGATATATGAAGTATATTCAGATGATTAATGACTCCCAAGTGGATTCCACTAATATTATCCTGTGATATTCAATATAAAGAAAAGGAATTTTGTTCTATGCATATAATTTTCACTTGTCGGCTAAGTGAACTTCACAAATATTACAGTCCTATTGTATTTTCCTATTTTTTTCCTTCTCTATATGTAGAATCCAATGGTCGATTTGTATCGTGAACTTGTTTTCACATCATTAAATGATATTCTCATATCAACCATTGATGATCACAATACTTATATTATCGGTGAACGTGTCGTACTCAGTGTTGGTATGGAAATGTTCAAACTACCTAATCTACATCAAATTGTTATTCATGGATGTTTAACAGCGGTTGAGAATGAAAATAGCCAATTAAATACTGAACTACAACAACAACCACCATATAGTGGAACTATTTCATTGATTCCTTCTATCAGTAAGTACGTTGTAACATTTATATGTTTTGTTTTCACAATAATCATCATATGTAAATGTTTTTTGTTTGCTATCAAGAATTAGCATCGCTTGTAAATGTTATTTTATACATGTCTTTGGCGGTGGCTACTTGTTTGCATAACTATCTGTTAGATTGATGTATAGTCTTCGCTCTTCTTCAATAGCTCTGTAGTTCATCACTGTTCATTAATTATCCTGTTCTTTGCTCTTAGATTTCTTAACACTATGCCGTAAACTATATGTTGGGGCTTCTATTTTTGTAACCCATTTGTTATTATCTACGATTTGGGATTTAATCCATTTGGATCTAAGGTAATTTCTAATCACAAACTTTTAAGATCTCTTCTAGTATGAACGCAAAATAATGCTAACTCTTTAATGCATCCACTGATATGTGACAATTCTTTGACGTTAATAATCCACAAGTTAATAAGCAATAAAGAGGATTGACCACTCAGAATATTCCGAACATGAGTAGAACAATTATGTATATATGGCGACAAAACCTTGGGACATAGGAGACTCAGCATATTAAAGGGGACAACAAAATCAATCAGAAAGCAAAAATGATCACACTTATTATTAATAATAATAATGAGTTAACCTACTTTAAAATCAGACAAGTACTACTAGATAAAGCTCTGACATTTTATACAATCCATGGGTCGCGTGTTTCTACAAGCCACACTATTCATACTTCAAGTAATTAAATATGTGACTGCAACTTCTGTAGTCTCATACGTAAGGGTATTACTTTGGGTTCGAAAGGGACGGTTTGCATTTCTCAACTATTTCTCAGCTGATAGTAGTCTGTGAAGTGAAAGGTACTGGAGTTACGCCCCGTAAAATGTTTGTAGTCTTTTATTGAAATAATTGGTTATTATCCTTTGGAACTGTACAACCATTTCAGATTTATTTATCATATCTGGCAAGAGTGATGACTGACTATACTGATTAGTTTACGCAGAACCACATTTAGGTACGGCTTATGAGTTCTAGTAAGTAGATATGAGTGATCGTTCGGTGCAACTACGCTCTGACAATCAGTGACCCCTGTAAAGATTTCAAGTGAGTTTTCTAATAATCTGGTAATCGTCAATATGAACTCTACGTTGGATACTTTTTTATCGACTTTCTTTCACTCAGTTAAGTCACTGATTATTCTACAGTATATGCTTGGAATGCAACTGTATTTGGAATCAAGCATGTGCTTTTGCGTTATAGCGGCGCTGAAAAATTTAAGGGATATAATTAAATAAAGCTAGAGCAATTTTCCAGAAAAAATAATTGTTTACTCATTGGAATTTGAAGAAAACTGTCATTCCCAGGTATCCTGACACATAAATAAAATATGTTGTCCATCCGAAGAATAGTTTAGGGAATGCCACTATGTTTTCGGTGTCTTTTGAAGTTATGGCTGCTAGAAAATGCATTCCAGCATGATACGAATATAGCTACCAGCGAGAGATACTGAGACAGTCTACGCAATAATTATGGACAGTGGACGGTGACGATGCCGAAAAATAAAGCGGACGACAGTTCTAGGTAACCTTAGATTGTTGTTGAATGTTATCAAGAAGAATCAAAAGTTGATTCCAATCTATTTCACACCAAATGTGCTTATTCACTCTCTCCACCTACTCGTTTTCAGTTATGCTATATTATTGACCTAAATTATTTTATCTTCCATGTAAACATACTACTCCTAATCTTTCCATCTAATTCCTTGTAGTGAGTAGTAAGGTTATGTTGTGGAGTTTATCTGTATGTATTAGTATAACTTTTCCCACTCATAGGGCACTTATATTTAGTAGTTTCACTTAAATTCTTGCAATCACAAAATACTTATACTTAAATTTTGTGCTTATAGTGGTCGACTGTTGTTTGCGATCAAATGACTAATCGTCTGCTTTTCGAGCTACTCGGGTTCGACTCCTCACATACCGCGTTTTGGAGCAGTGGGTGGCTCAATGAGTGAGGTGTCTAACTTTTAGCCGCCAAGTTATAGGTTTGAAGATAGCTGCATTTACTGTGGTCCGGTCTACCAGGTAGTGGTATCACTTTGTCTCTCACATGTAGAGTGTAACCCAGTGCCAAGTGCACGAATGTATATCTTATCTGTGCTAACGGGGTGTGCAAACTTGAAACGACTGATAGATGTACCAGGTTCTAGGTTGAGTATGACTTACTGATCGAATGAAGTATTTGATGAAAGTAAATATCCCAAAACTGTTTTTAAATCCATCCATTGATTTTTATTGTTAAAACAGATTTATTACACCTTTTTGTGACTGTGGCTATACCTGGCATGCTAGTAAAATGTGATCCAACCACAACCACATCAACTGTCCATACAGCCGAGCCATCAATGATACAAGATACTGATGACGATGATAATCATGAAGAAGTAGTGACAGAGGAAGAAGGAGGTGACGAATCATTGCCAGCTCTGTTAGCTACTGAATCTTACACACATTATACATGGTCTGGTTCACCTTTAGAAGCTGCGATAACGATACGTTTTATTGCTCGGATCCTTATGAGTTGTTTAACGGAACGTCATCTGCCTATTGTTCGTCCGATTACTGATCCTAAGCCGTTACAACTACGAAGTGGACAAGGAGAAGAATTATCAGATGACGACGATGGTGATGATGACGACAACAAGATTAATGATAATCATAATAGAATGAAGGGAGTGGAAATCAATGATCAGGAAATGAACATGTCAGCTGAATTCACTAGAAGTACTAATAACTGTAGCCTTATTTCAGAAGCTGTCTCGTTTCAACCAGTATGGGTATATTTCTTATCTTTGTTTCTCTTTTGTCGAAAATGTGTGTTTTTGTCTTTGAAGTTTTGGTTATGTAGTTATATTGTCTTTAATATTGGTGAATGATTTAATTGAAACTGCAGTCAGTTCATATTTATGATACGTTGAAAAAAGTGGATAATTATTTATATTTTTGACTAATTAAAATGCTTCGGTTCGGGTACCCGGGCGGTATCCTAGCGCTCACACAGATCGATTGATTTATGTGGCACATATCTATTTGGTGCCTCCTTGTACCAATATTTATGTGTTTAAATAAATAATAAATAAATTCAAATGCTCTGGTACGGCCGAGAGTGGGGAGAGTCCAATCTCCCTCCCCGAAATGCTCTCATATGGCCACGTGCATACGACCACTGCGTTCTCGCGGCAGAGCTGTTCTTTACGAGATTAAGAAAACGAAAAGCTAGTGTCCGGCACTTTAACCGGGTTGGGCACTCGGACAGTATCACAGCTCTCATATAAATCAAATGACTTATGTGGTGCATATATTGTTTAGGAATACTATAAGAGTTTCGTGAATTTTTTTAAAAACATTAACCAAATTTAGTTTTGTATTCTCGGCTTTGTGTCACACTATTTATGTGTAAGAACCATTGATACTATTCTGATGGTCAGACCAATTTATGCGGAGCGGGGTTCGAACCTATCACATTGGTAGCATCATATTGTTACATTACTTTTAGTAGATCTAGAGGCTTAAAATGTCTCAAGAACACTAATAGATAGTATCTAACATGCTAGATAATCTGGTCAGCAATGATAAATACACCATACAGTTTAAACGACTCATCTTCATTGTATCATTCCTAGCAAATAAACTTATTTTATAGTTTTTGAGGAATACATTTTAACCTTTATGAATTCAATGAAAAATTTTACTTTAAAGTAGTCAATTTATGGATAAGCATCGAATTTTGGCGATTCCATTCATTAATAACCAAATATTAAGTTTTATAATTCATTTTGAATTTAACCTACTATAGTCCAACCTCTCTTCTAAGTACTACCGATTTATCAACACAGCTAATATAATAAATATTAAGGCATCTATTCATTTGATTCATATGCCAATATAGAAGAGGTTAACCAAATTCATTACTAAATATTAACGATGGGAAAACCTGAAGCCTTAATACTAATAATAAGAGGTCATGTGGGACGGTGGCTTAGTAGTTAGGGTCCTCGACTTCTGGCCTTTAGGTCCCTGGGCTCGAAACCTTATCTTCTTACTTCGGTTTGGTCAACCGCGTAGTATCATAAGCCCTCTCACTTAGAATGTGATTTATACCTAATCGACTGGTGAATGAGTCAATTAATTAGTCAGTTTTCTTTATAGATGTTGTACACATTGAACCAGTTGTTGGATTTCTTGACTTGGTATCTTATTACACAACACGTTAGTATATAAGACTATAGGTATTGCTTTGAATTTTCTATATGAACAACCCCAATACTATGCAGATATATAACTATATCATGAGTTCCAAATTAGACGAAACGTGTGTTATTCATCTCACTATTCAATGCTTATTGATATGCAGATAAATCTTAAGGGCACTTATCATCGAGTCGCCTATCTAACAGGTTGTTATTTCATATCTCTCTTTGTTTATCATCGTTTAACCAGTCAGTTATTATCAACAACCATTGCATTATTTAGTGAAGCTCATTGCGTACATAATACACAAAGAATATCTGTGACTTGTGAATTTAATTTGTTGCCTTATTCATATCAGAGGGGTTTTGTGGATATTATAATAATTTCAATGGTTGAGATCATGAATTAATTGAAGCTAGACCACTATAGAAAACCTGAAAGCACTGGACAGCCTTTTCGTCCTATTGTGGGACTCCTCAGCAGTGCGCATCCACGACCTCGCCTCGTGAGACTCAAACCCAGGACCTATCAGTCTCGCGCGCGAGCGCTTAACCACTAAACCACTGAGCAGACCAGCATCCAACGGTGTTCATGTCTAACCTCAACCAATCCACGAAATCGAGCGACACATCCACCGTTGTCTTCAGTGAGTTACTATCTCACAACAGACCCTGTGCTTACAGGTTTTCCATGGTGGTCTAGCTTCAATTGACTCGTGGTATCAACCATTGACATATTTATTTCCCAGTTGAACACTTGCACACTCAAAAGGTATTTTATGTATATATCATCCTCTTTGGTTAAGATTTTATAGTTATAGTTTCTGACTCAGATTCTAATGGATAGTTGTCAAATTAGCCAATAGGTAATCAGAATCCAAGCATTCATCTATACTGTATTATAAAGACGAATGAAAAAGGTTTATGAGTAAACATTGGTTAACTTCCACTGTTTTTGTTTTTAGGCTAGTCAACTGACAAAAATATCTGCGTCACTAAGTCATAGTTTACCGGCACTAGCAGCTAGCTCATTGTCTACCCTGGAAAATTTCAATAGTGATTTGGATAATCCAGATAAATTGGAATTAATTCGTTCTTCATCATATCTACATTATTGCCTTTCTCAAGTATGCGGTCTGTCTAGGACATCATTAATACGGTATGTAAAATCATTTAATTAATATTTTGTACTCATTTTAGACTCATATATTCCGTACACTTAGAATCATTATTACACAATTATATTGACAATTTGTAATCAGATTATTGAACTGACTAGTTTTGAGGATTTAGTTTCATCGATATAAGGTGCTTTACATATTCTATGTCAGTTTTAACTTTTCATTTTTCGATGTCATTTGTCTCGATACTGTATTTTTCACATGACCTCTGCAAATAGATATTCCCAGGTTATTAGTATTTTATCATCCACACCTTTGAAACGTGTATTAAGACCATGAAGTGAGTAATTTTGAGATTATACATAGAGTACGAGATATAAAGTAGCAAATCAGTTGATTAAATTCTGAATTTTCACCAATATAGGTACCTGAGACCTATATCGTCACACAATGCCCATTCGTATAGGAATAGGTTTCAAGAAAGCTACGTGCAGCCGTACATGGAAATTTAGCACCAATTCGTAAAATTCTTGATTTTTAAACTAATCTGTGCTGTTAGATACAAACTACCTAGTTGGGATCCATGATATGATCGTTACCAATAATTGGAATGGTTAAATGACATATCTCAGAATTATTCACAATTTTACAGATGTTTTTTGTTTCAAAATACTTTTAATTTTCACTGCGCAAATTTATCTTACCTTTTCTTATTCAATTACATTATTTATACCTAATCGTTTCTATGACCATTAATGGATAATGTCACTATTTGTCCAGCCTTCAAATACCCTGGTACGGCCGAGAGTGTGGAGAGTCAGCTCTCCCTCCCGAAATGCTCTCATATGGCCATGTGCATACAATCACTGCCAGTAAAGTCTTACTCACCGTTTTCTGACGGCAGGGGGTTTACTAACGAAATCGAGAGAACGAAAAAAGAATGTTCGGCACTAACCGGGCTTCGGCTTCAATAGAACAATGAGAAGACGGAGTTTATCTGAAAAATATGATGTATTTGGGCTATACATTTCGAACAATCTGGTCACACATATACCTGTCAAGGCATTTTTATATGAAAATTAATAAAGGTCAATTAAATAAAAGTTCAAGTAAAATAACAAAAGGGGAGAGAAAGAATAAGAAATTGTCGCGTTATCCTAGGCGATAGAATGACTTAAGGATTACCAAGGTAAATTCAAGGTTACGACAAATCGCTTTTGTACACATAAAGGGGGTTTAAATTTACGAATAGCCAAGGCTTCAATAAACTTAAGAATTCGACCTTGACAATTTCTATACAATGTTCTAAATGCTGTATTAATGTCAATTTTGTGTCCCGTTTCAATTATATGTTTTGCTATCGATGAACCTAGTTTCCTAACTCCCACATTGATCGGATCATTTGAAACACGTTGATTTTGAAGCCATCTAGGCACATGTTGATTGACCCTTGATTGCACTGTTCGATTACTCCTCCATATGCATGTATGTCCACACAAACATGTAACCGGGTTAATGAATATGGAGGATCCACCTATGGGAGTTGGAAAATTCTGATTCCGAACCAGTGGTGTACATGGGCTCCAGTATCCTGAAGGAACAAATGGTGTATGAACCTATTGTTGGTCCCCGACCGAAGCTGCTACCTTGACGCGGTGGTCGGGCTTGCCTATCGTGATGACCCAACCGAGCTATATTGGCTGGAAAATATGTTCCTGTAGGTTCTACCATGCCAGGCAGGTCGATTGGAGAACGGTAAGACTAAAGGCATCAACTCAAGGTCTGAGGGCGAAGTCGTACTGCTGACTGTAGAGAGGTGTGACAGCAGTAAGGTGTTTCCCTCAGACAACCAGCATGACAGCGATGCTGCCTTCCCACAAGGAGGGGTGGGGTTAGAAAAGGTCGACCCTAAAAATGTCACACCTCACCTTACCTCACGGATTTCCGTCTCCGGTGGTAAGGCTCTTTGAAGAACGGAGCTAACACATTAAAAACCTGTCACAAAAAGGCCGTGCGCGACCCGCCTCAAGCAGTTGTCCCTTGGGCTCTGCGGTCACGCTCCCAGGTCGTCAAGACCAACACTAATCCAATTTCCTTTTCAGGTTCCTCAAGAAATACCCTTTCACGGTGTGGGCAGCCGGGAAGTGACATCAGCCCTGATAGCCGTAACAGCACACGAGACCAAGTTGGTCACATTCAAATCCTTCCTACACCTCCCAATACCTCTCTTATCTCCATGACTAACCCTCCTCATGTCCCTTTATCACCTCGCACCGCTAGGGCAAACGATTCGAGTATGTGGAACTCTATTTCTGGTCTCCTGAAACCACGCTCTAAACTACACGTAGGAGCTTTTAACGTACGAACACTGTGCCAAATAGGACAGCAGGCTCTTAGCTAGGACTTTAGAATCCCGCGCCATCGATGTGTGCTGCGTCTGCGAAACGCGCATACAAGATCCGAGTAGCGTCCTTCATTTGACCTCACCATGCCAAAATAAAGAACCGACTCGATTTACGCTTCGTGTATCTGGAAGCCCTGCTTCTGCTTCCCGTGACCTCGCCGGCGCAGGTATAGCATTGAGTCCCAGAGCAGAACTAGCTCTCTTAGAGTGGATCGCAGTAGACAGCCGTTTGTGTGCTGTCCGACTGAACGGAACAGTAAGAATCCGGAAAGATAGGGACACCCGTCGTTGCCTCTTCGTCGTTTCTGCCTATTCTCCCACAGACTGCAGCTCAGATGATGTAAAAGACGAGTTTTACAAAAAGCTTTCCGACCTTCTCCGAAAAGCTAGGCGCTATGATGTAGTAATAGTGGCCGGTGAATTTAATGCTCAAGTAGGTAAACTAAGCGATAGGGAAAGACACCTAGATGGATCTTATGGTATCGTGGCTCAAAGAACAGATAATGGCGACCGTCTGTTGCAGCTATGCTCAGATAATCGCCTGTTCCTTGCAAATACTAACTTTAAGCATAAGGAAAAACATCTTTTAACATGGCGACCCCCTAATTCGTCCCAACGTTGGACCCAAATAGATCACATCGCTATCAGCCACCGATGGAGGGGCTCGATAGAAGACTGTCGCTCATTCTGGAGCACATGCTTAGATTCAGATCATGCTCTAGTGCGAGCGCGTATTTGCTTGCGTCTTACTGGACGTAGGAAAGACGCTGCAAGGAAACCTCTTAGGGGCCTACTTAATGATAGTCAAGCTAAGAGTATATTTCAGGAACAACTAGGAAAACAGTTAGGCAGCCATGTATGTGATGCCCACCCCGAGGCAGCATGGAATGATATCCGAAAAGCTGTGGAAACAGCAGTGATATCTGTTAGTAAGGTAAACCAGAAGGTTAGAGAGCAACACTGGATTTCAGCAGCATCTATCGCACTGATAGATGCTCGGAAACTCATTCCACCTGGCTCTGAACATAGTGAAGAGCGGAGTCAGCTTAAGCGCAAACTGACAAGAAGTCTACGCAATGATTGCGAACAGTGGTGGGTAGCGAAAGCAAGAGAGATGGAAAAGGCAACGGCAATAGGTAATAGCAGACAATTGTTTAGACTCGTTAAGGAAACCGGAATTAGGAACCCGACTATTAGCCAAACAATCTCAGAGAAAGATGGACATATTATTCATTCTCAATCCAGGAGATTGGATCGATGGGCAGAACACTTCAGGGATCAGTTCAACTGGCCTTCAGCCACACTTCGGTTTCCCACGATCCCCAGTCAACCTGAATGGCAAGTTAATGTAGGTCCTCCGTCTCTTTACGAAGTTGAACAAGCCATAGGAAATCTGAAACGAGGGAGAGCAGCAGGCCCTGACAGATTTACCCCTGAGATTTTTAAGGATGGTGGTCCAGTATTAGCAATGAGATTAACCGAGGTCTTAGGTAGAATTTGGGAACTGGACGTAATCCCATCTGACTGGTCTCAATCACTGATTGTGCCAGTTTATAAGAAAGGACAAAAGTCCTCTTGTGACAATCACAGAGGAATCAGTTTGACTAATATAGTGTCTAAAATATTAGCTTCAATAATACTTCGACGCCTAATCAAAGCTCGTGAAGAGCAGACTCGAGAAAATCAGGCTGGTTTTCGACCTGGACGTGGTTGTATAGATCAGATATTCACACTACGTCAGGTTCTAGAACACAGACACACATTCAGACGCCCCACAATGGTGGTATTTCTCGATCTTAAGGCGGCATTCGACTCTGTTGACCGTGAGGTTCTATGGCAGTGTTTGTCACTGAAAGGAGTACCAAAGAAGTACATTAACCTTATTCAGGCTCTCTACTCGAACACAACTAGTAGAGTGAGAGCTTATGGCGAATTGTCATCAGAATTGATTACATCAAGTGGTGTTCGTCAGGGCTGTCCACTCTCCCCATTCTTGTTCAACTTAGTCGTTGACGTACTTTTAGAGATAACACTCTCCTCATCTAAATTTCCAGGGGTTGAACTTCTATCGGGAGGTTCACTTGTTGACTTAGAATATGCTGATGACATAGTTTTATTTGGTGAAGACGCTGACAAAATGGAGAGTCTTCAGACCACTCTAAGCAACAATGCAAGCATGTTCGGGATGCGATTCTCTCCCTCGAAATGCAAAATGTTGCTTCAGGATTGGGTTACATCGACACCCGAACTAGTGATAGGGAGTGAAGTAGTTGAGTGTGTCGACCGCTTCACTTATCTTGGAAGTCTCATCAGCCCTTGTGGTCTGGTGTGTGACGAAATCTCAGCACGGATACAGAAGGCTCGACTAGCATTTGCTAACTTGCGTCATTTATGGCGTAGGCGAGATATCCGTCTATCAACCAAAGGACGGGTTTACTGTGCAGCAGTACGTCCCGTCCTACTTTATGGCAGTGAAACATGGCCGGTAAGAGTAGAGGATATTCGTAGGTTACTAGTATTCGATCATAGGTGTCTTCGAAACATTGCTCGTATATCATGGGACCATCGAGTAAGTAACACAGTTGTTAGGAAACGGGTACTAGGTAAGGATGGCAAATCAATTGACGAAGTGGTGAAACTTCATCAGTTGAGATGGCTGGGACACGTGTTACGTATTCCCAACGACCGACTGCCTCGACGTGCGATGTTCAGTGGTATGGGAGGAAGTTGGAAGAAAGCTAGGGGCGGCCAGACCAAAACATGGCACAAGTCGAAGTCACTGACAAGTGGTCTGAGTCATGTTGGTAGGTGTAAACTACCTGGTTGGGGACCGCAAGATGATAGCAACCGATGGTTAGAGACCCTGAATGACATGGCTCAAAATCGTTTGCAATGGCGCAGGTGCATTCACTCCTTGTGTTCTCCCAAATTCTAATCTTCTGAATTCTTCATGTCCCTTTTTTTCCTCTTTCCAAATTTATTTCACTGAATTATACTCTTTAAATAACATCTCCAAACACTAATCTTCTCGATCACTGCTTACACTCTTGCTATCTCTACCACTACGGGATTTGGATCGACAACTGCATCTCTGTGTTAAGGTGGTGTGGCAACTCGAATTGTTGTACGTAAGTACGAAGTTCTACGTTGTTACTGACTGACTGACTATTGTTGGTCACCGACTACCATGGGATTGCATCTCCTGACGTTGCTCCACTGTTTTGTGGATCAGACCTTTAGGTCGAAGGCTCGGGGTGTTGCTCTCTTAGAAAACCATCTGCTTCAGTTTGGGCACCCGGGCAGTATGACAGCCCGCGCACAAATCAAGTGACTTGTGTGGTGCATATGTATTTGGTGCCTCCTTGTACCAATATTTATATCTGTAAATCAATAACTATTTCTTCAACCCTGGTAATTTATCTTGTAATCCTTTTGAAAACTTTAACCAATCTACATGTTTATGTTAGGTTCTATGTTTTTGTTGTTGACTAATTGATATGCTATATTTAATGCTTATTTAATAAATGATTATCTTTTTTTAATTTGGATTTGTTTTTACCTTTCATCTTCTTTTGTCTTTATTCTTTTCAGCATTAACTCTATTTATTCACAATATCCAATCTATTTACGTTGTTTATGGAAATTAATTGAAAATACTAAATGTTCAGATAAATCAACATTAAATTATTCAAATACCAATATGTCTACATTGCTTAATATTTTATGCTCGGGTGAATTACCTACACATTTAGTGGAACTTCAAAGGTTAGTTAGTTAATCCATTTAGACTACTGTCAATATATTTACAAGTAAACGAATTTCATTAATTGTTTAAAAGAATGTTGTAACCTCGTATGTGCTGGGATCATCGGGTAAGTAATAGTAAGGTTATGGGGCAGGGTATTAGGGAATGACGATGGTAAATCAGTTGGTGGGGTTTTGAATCTTCATCGTTTGAGATGGTTGGGCCACGTGTTATGTCTGAACTACGATTACTATGACGTGCAATACTGATTAGTGTTGGGGATGGCTTGAAGAAAGTTATGGGCGGCCAAACGAAAACGTCGCATCACTCCTTGAAGTCACTAACTTCTGGTATGAGCCATGTTGGTAGATGCAGACTACTTGGTTGGGGTCCGTGTGACTATCGTAACCAATGGTTAGAGACTTGGTGACAAAACAGCTGTTACGTCTTAGTGTATCTCCTTAACAGTTCACACACTTCATCGGGAGTCTAATCCAGGAGTTTCAGATATGGCGTTGAACATCCAACAACTAGGACTGCTTTGCTGGTGTCCACTAGTACCGTTTTCATGTCTGTGGACTCGGAACAGCATAACAATCATCCATGTTGGTAATGGAACAGCTGTCACTGTTGACTATGAATATTCATCGCGCTATTCCGCACTTGATGGAACTTGGAATGATGTTATTGGATTTAATTACTTCAACAGTTGTCTAGTCTCTGAGAGGTCCGAAGTTCCTGAGTTCGATACCTAGTGCGGTTTCGGGTACTCACTTTCAACGTGTTCTACATTGGGACAAAATAGCTGTTCAGTGTTTCACTGGTATTTTATGTCATTCCAAATATTATCAATTTGTCATGAACAACACCTGTAGGTCAAACCAATCTCTTCAAATAACCTATTTATTTGTTTATTTGGACAGTTATCTTCCACTGATATTTACATTTGCTGACTGTCTTCATCATCGCTTATTATGTTTAACGGATTCGGAAATCTGTGACATCTCATCGGAAGTGAACTACACCAACTGCAACGATTATCGTCATCCACAACCAATCAATAATAATAGTGAACCCTCACGAGGAGGTTGTGGTTTTCGTGCTGATGAATTATTACAAGTTGGTACAAGACTTCGTGATCTTATGCTCGGTCTAATTGATTTGTCACATCCTGATCAAGTGCCGAAACAAACTCGTAATTTACAATCAGATACACATTGTGCAGAATCAATGGAACAACCAAATTATGGTGCAGTATTACGTAGAATAGAACAATGGGTCGAAATAGCCGACCTTGGCAGTTCACCTATTAGTGATCTAATGATGCGAAATTATACACAATGGGTAAAACATTTTCTTAAATAATATAATAATACTTTACTATTACATTTTCGTGGATTGTCATTAACAAATACTTTGTAAACCATTCCGTACAAGTTCACTTGTGAATTTATCAACGAGCATTATACCACAAGTCAAGCAATAGTGCTCTTGACTCTTAAAAGTATGACTCATTTACCAAATATACATTTGGATTAACTTAGCTGTCAAAGTCGTTAATTATGGACCTAAATACTACAACTCTCAATCGCATTATTATTAGATCCTCACCACCTTGAGTTTGTCTAATCCTAATTCATGAAATTTATTATTTCCTTGTAAATATATGTTAATGGGTCTGTATATTCACCAGTAATTATACTCACTTTTCTTCTCTATAATAATGTATGACGTTTTCTACTCACGTAACTTATCTGTCTTCTACTTCTTTTTAGTTTCCTTAGCTGAAATATAATAGTGACACTAAGGGGTTGTGTAGATAAGTAATATATTAAACAACCGGACAACTGAAGAACTTGTCTTCCGGGGACGTTTAAGAATTTTTTAAATAATGGAGATGACTATAGAAAGAGTTTAATAACATGTATTCAGAATATTTTCACTATTGAGAAATTTGATGTACCGTATACTTTTCAAACGAAGTGTTTTATAACTTCAGCTCGTGTATTTATTGTTAGTGTATATACACGTAGACAAATGTGAATGAAAGTTATGTAAAGCGAAAACGCTTAACAAGAGACTGGATAGCTCCGTAGCAATGTCTTATATTGTGAACCTGAGTAACGTGAGTTTGAATCCCACAGGCAGTATCACTTCCCTCAATATTGTAGGCAAATCCTACTGATAAGTACGAAACCATGCATCGAGCAGTGTTTCCGTTCGACTACTTTCAACTAGTACATTATATCCACTTGTTGTTATTTGCCTTAATATTCATACTTGTTTATTAGCTCTTTAACCAGGCGCAAATACATGTACTTGGTCTTGATCCACGCTCTAAGTTTGAGGGCTACTAATACTGAGCGGCTGGTTAAACCGAAGTAGGTGAGGTATGTTTGAACCTAAAACTTAGTAGCTGAAAGTTGAACGTCCTAACCGCTAATCCATTTCTCTAGATTTATGCAGAATTGTGTGTGTATTTATGCATATAGCTGAATTTAACAATTGATTACTCTCTCATTCTGTATGTATAAAACTATTGTTTTTTTCTTTCAGTCGATACCGGATTTTCGTCTTTTACTATATTGTTGGTGTAGTTTACTGCGTCGAGTTGAACGGTTAGTATTTCAAATCTATGATTGGGATCGTCGTTGTCGACGTCAACAAGATACTAGTCTGCCTATCTACCTTTTACAAAATCCACAGTCCACAACGACAACAGCTTCTACAAATGCATCATCTACATTTTCATCATCATCCTCATCAACTGGTATTGCATGCGTAACCAATTCATCACGTCTACCACTTGGCACACCAAGTGTTAGTCAAACATTTTGGTTGAAAGATAACTTATTTGATTTATTAAATACTACAGAATCGCAATCTTCATGGTTTGAAAATCAAGGTTATCAAAATACATTGGCATTAGCTGGTGCACCGTTTGGTTATTATAGTATTTTGAATCCAGATCGAAATCAAGGTTGGTGTAGTATCATTTATTTGTTATAATATTTTGATTAGAGGCATCATTGACTGAAGTTAGTTAAATAATCATTGAAAACCAGTAGGTAATTAACAGCCGTTTTGTCCTAGTATGAGATTCCTCAGCAGTACCTATTCAGAATTCCACTGAGGATTGAATTCGAAGTTTTCTAGTGAGAAGTCGTGACTGCTAGAGTTTAGATATGTAGAGAGTTAAACTGATTAAAATTATAAATGTGAATCATTTGTGTCAATGCAGTGGTCGGCCTGTTAAGCTCTCGCTGCGTGATCCGCGAAGATTTTTTACAGTAATTAGTTATTTGAGAACTCATTGATTAATTAGTTAGTTATCTTGTCCTGAGTAATGATCACCTATATCCAACTTAGTACAAACAACTTTCAATCCTTAAAAGGATTCGATTGTGACCTATCTAGCTCTCAGTATGTAGATGTTTCTGACATTCAAATTGAATTAAGCGGGTATGAATCCTACAGGGATTATCGATTTCCTTAAGTTTACAGGTACAACTTATTGAATAGAACCAACTAACATAAGACTCTAGGTATATTAAAGAAAAGCATTCTCTCAATTCCCTTCAGCAATAGAATGATACTTCTAGTACTCTTTTTGTTTATCTTAAAATGTTTCTATAGCAAAATAATTTCTAATACATATTGGTTTGTCTGTTTTTCTTTTATAAATGTCAGTGGTACTAGAATCATTTTCTTTATCCAATCGTCAAATACGTCAAGTCTTATTATTGAAAAAAGTTCCATTTGTTATACCATTTGAAAAACGAGTTAAAGTAAGTACAGTGTGTATGTAATGTATATTATTGGTTGCCTATTCATTACATTGTTGTCATTGATTTAAGCTATTCACCTCCAAATGCCCTGGTACGGCCGAGAGCGGGAAGAGTCCGCTTTCCCTCCCGAAATGCTCTCACATGGTCACACGTATATAGCCTCTGACAGGGAAGTCCCACTCACTGCCTTCTCGTGGCAGGGATGCTGTTTACGAAAATGAGAGGACGAAAAGCGAATGTCCAGCGCTTTAACCAGATTCCCAACCAAACCGATGGTGCACATGGACTCCAGTATCCTGCGGGAACAAATGGCGTATGAACCACTTGTTGGTCACCGGCTTCCATGGGACTGTATCTCCTTACGATGCTCCACTGCCTTGTAGATCAGACATTCAGGTCGAAGGCTCCGGATGCGACTCCCTAAGAAAAGCACTTGCTTCGTTTTGGGCACCAGTGCATTATCACAGCCCTCACACATATCGAATGAGATTTGTGTGGCACATATGTATTTGGTGCCTCCTTGTACCAATATCCATGTGTTAAAATAAATAATAATAAATAAATAAATTCTAATTATTATTATTACTTAGTGTAAATCTATTGTTCTACTTGTTTATTATTCAAGTGCCCAACCTTAACATCGATACAATGATCTTCATTAGGTCTGTTTAGTTTTCTCTGATTAGAAGATTGACATCAGTTTCCTCAATTTTGTCGATGAAATTTACTGATTTTTTTAGTTGTTCACAAGTATTACTATCAGGGATTAGTTGGTTGTCGTATTGTTTGGAACGATACTTAGAACCAAATTGTTGCTCCAAGTTGAGAGTACATGAGTCGGTAAATGTGTTACTTCGACAGCAAATGAATTAATAACATAGTGTTTACGAATTATGACCTTCCTCTCTTTGTGAATATCGCAGATCATATAAGATGTTATTAACCGAGCACAATATTGAATAAAACCATTGATAATAATAACAATAATAATACTTGGCTTAATTCCAAAATTGTGTGGCTTGTTAATCCCATCACTCGTACGTTCAATCCCAAATTGATGGTTCCGGGGTTTAAATCTATTACCAAATGGGTTGAAAAGCAAGTGCTTTAATCCTCTGTAATCTCGGTTGCTATGTTAAACCCATATAACTTATTCCAGCTTCTGAGTGGACAGGCCAATTTATTCATTCTTCTTGAGTTACGTCTTGATCTTTTTTAATTATTCACTTATCAACATTGACTGTTTCTATATGAGTGTATATATATGTGTGTACACATCTTATCCTATTCGTCACATGGCTGCAACTTGTTTTTGTATGACTAAATATCGATTAACTCTTCGCTAAATGCAGTTGGCTTACACTCCTCCACTGTGCGTCGTTTCATTTCGCTCTTTTTTATTCGCATCGTCCCTCTGATTGTCTGTCCAGATTAATGACTGTATAAAATATACTTATTCGAAATCCTTTCTCGTATTTGACCTATTTTAATTCCTTCATTAACTAACGCGAGTTAAGTCGATAACTATATGCGAGAATTGGCGATATGTATATTGTCAATAGTAATCATTCAATAACGATCATTTGTCCAATCTCATTGGAGTCAGATATATATGGCCACTAAACATCAATCAAACTTTTTATGTATTGTATAATCATTCATTTATGTATATGAAAAGAATCATATTATTTATGAAAGGGGATATTTAATAATTCACTTTCCTCTCATATTTACACTTCTGGTGATATAGTTTAAAATGGAAAATCAAAGCTTCACAAATAAATCATTTAACTCCATGCATACAGTATTACAAAAACAAATACACTTCCGAATATATCTACATCCAAATGTTGATATTCACATCTCGTTTCGAACCTAGTACCTTTCATTTCAAACGTTTAACGTGTTGTTGTTATCCAAAAGTTCATATAACTATCTGACTTGTAAAATAGGATATGAATTCTATTTGACAATAGTTCTTATTGTGTTGCTTATTTACTTACTTACTTACGCCTGTTACTCCTAATGGAGCATAGGCTGCCGATCAGCGTTCCCCAACCCATTCTATCCTCGACCTTCCTTTCTAGTTCCATCAAACTGATGTTCATTCTAATCATGCCTGTCTCCGTTTCTCCGCGTAATGTGTCCTTTGTTCTTCCTACCCTTCTTTGACCTTGAGGACTCCATGTGAGGGCTTGTCTTGTGACAGTTGAGTGATTTCCTCAATATATGTCCTGGCCACTTTCAGTGCTTCTTTCTCATTTCTTCCTCCACTGGAATCTGGTTCATCCTCTCCTACAGTACGTTATTGCTGATAGTGTCAGGCCGACAGATCCGAAGTATTTTGCGTAGACAACTGTTAATAAACACTTGAATCATCTGCATGATGGCTTTCGTGGTTCTCCAGATTTCCGCCCCATACAGTAGAACTGTCTTGACATTTGTATTGAAAATTCTGACCTTGGTGTTGGTTGACAGTTGTTTTGAGTTTCAGATGTTCTTCAATTGTAAATATGCTGCTATTGCTTTATTGATCCACACCTTTACATCTGCATCAGATCCACTGTGTTCATCAATGATGCTGCCCAAATATATAAAGGTTTTTACATCTTCCAAATCTTTTCCATCAATTGCGATTGGATTGTTGCATGCTGTGTTGTATCGGAGAATCTTGTTTTTCCCTTTGTGTATATTGAGACCTATTGCTCCTGAGGCTGATGCTACACTGGTCGTCTTCTCCTGCATTTGTTGTTGCGTTTGCGATAGAAGAGACAGATCATCTGTGAAGTCTAGATCGTCCAACTGCATCCTATCTGTCCACTGTATCCCGTGCTTCCCTTTCAGATGTTGACATCTTCATGATCCAGTCGATCACCGTGAGAAAGAGAAAGGGTGAATGTAAGCAACATTGCCTAACACCGGTCTTTACCTCGAACGAGTTTGTCAATTGTTCTCCATGCACGATTTTACAGTTTAATCCATCATAGGAATTCCGTATGATATTGACTATCTTCTGAGGCACGCCGTAGTATCGAAGAAGCTTCCATAGTGTTCTGTCCACGCTATATTGTGTTGCAATGTATCTTTTTTTTCTTTTATATTTTCTTATAGTTATTTAAAGTTCTTATCAATGATGGTAGTACATATAATCGTAATCCATTTCGACGAATATATAATATATCTAATCAACCAAGTGTTTCTCTTGTTGTTCGTCGAACTCATTTATATGAAGATGGTTTTGAGAAATTATCCAAAGAAAATGGTAATGTTTATCTTGAATAGTTTTTTCTTTTAATTAAAGTTGAATAATAATGACTGTCAGAGGAACACAGGATGCGTGTCTTGTCTAATTTACGACTCGTCAGCTGGATAAATATATATCCATCTCAGTTCTGATGCTGGTGTTTATAGGACATGATTATTAGGGCCTAGTCTCAATGTAAACATCAACACTTAGATCTAGGTATATCCAGGTGACGAGATTACAACGATTAATCACGTTCATGTGAAATCATGATTTCTAACTGGAGTTGTGGAATAATAACTTTGGCGATTACTGAATTCTGTGATTATCATATCTTGTATTATTCCCCGTCTTTGAGGACTGTAAAGTAAAAAATAGCTAATGTAATACTAGCTCATATTACTTCACTACGACTCCTTGGTTTTTGATCCCGGAGGCTTCAGGCATGTTTTAGAATACAATTTAGATACGATTCCAATGTTGTTCTCTATTTCATTCTTCACAGTTTTTGAGATTCAAATTTTATTAACCAAACTTAATCTAATTAGACTATTCAGTCATCTGTTGATTATGTACGATCTTTAGATAAAACATCGTTCGATCGATGCATTCAATTCTGTATTTGAAAAACTGATACAAAAAACATAGTGGGGGTAACGTTTTATTCCCGATTCATCATCTGTTGTTTTTAAATTGGTCTCAACGTTCTCCTGAGAATTATTTGTCACTGGATAACTGTCTCTTCTTAGTGTATTGCTCTTCGCTAATATGCGTCCACAACCCACAAAGGATCATACTCAAGACTACTACTCAGATCTTACTAGAACTCTTAAATGACATCAATTTATGATAAATGTAACGTAAAAATTACCCCCCCCCGAAACCCCTTAAAACAAAAAAATTTTTAAATTTATTTTGCAGCACCCAATTTACGTCAACGTTTAAAAGTGACCTTCTTAAATCCAACTGGTTTAGCTGAAGTCGGTATTGATGGTGGCGGTTTATCAAGAGAATTTCTTACTGAAATTATTCGTGCTGGTTTTGATCCAACTAGAGGATTTTTTATTTATGCATCGGATAAAACTTTATATCCAAATCCACAAGCATCTGCAATTACAATGGATTATTTAAAGCATTATTATTTCTTAGGAAGAATTTTAGCAAAGGTTATTCATTTGTTTAATATTTTAATACTACTTTAATTAAATATACTTTATGAGTAAGGCACAAGTCCATGAAGTCACTGACAAGTGGACTGAGTCATGTTGGTAGGTGTAGACTATCTGGTTGGGATCCGCGAGACGATAGTAACCGATAGTTAGAGACCCTGAGTGATATGGCACAAAATCGTTTGCAATGGCGCAAGTGCATTCACTCTTTGTGTTGTTTCAAATTCTAATCTTCTGAAGTCTTCATGTCCCTAATTTTCTTTCCAAATTTATTTCACTTGATTATACTCCTTGAATAACATCTTCAAGCCCTAATGTTTCCGATTTCTGCTTATACTCTTACTACCTCTACCACTACGGAATTTGAGTCGACAAGTGCATCTCTGTGTTAATGTGGTGTGGCGACTCGAACTGATGTACGTACGTACGAAGTTGTACGTTGTTACTGACTCTGACTTTATGGGTAAAATAGGATCCATTTCAGATTTGTTATATTTGTGTATTTATCATCTATCAGTTTTGAGCCACAATTTCGTTGTGTGAAGTATGTAATATATTGTGTTTATCCAACTTTGTCACTGAAGGTCTACTGATATGCATCCGACAACATGAGGTTCCTTCGATAATAAGGGAATAGCTTTGTTCACTATTGATTCTGATGATTCATTTATTCATTATTTTTTCTGTTCGTTATTTCATTATCTTTTTCGTTGTCCTTTTCTCTTATTACGACCGAGTTACTTGTATTGTTGAATATTCCTGAACATTACTTCATTCGACAAGTCCCGAAATTATTTCATGGTTGAATAGGAAGGTATTACAAATAAAGATGGTTGGGTAGAATTAGGAATCCCAATAAGAAATACGTTAGTATATTCATAGTTTTTGCATATGAAGATTCTAGAATTTTTAAGTCTCCGCTAGCACCAATTGATTTAGGGAAAAACAAATCAGCGTTTCCAGAACATACTTTAACCCTGTCTATACCCCTCTAACACTTTAATTGTCTTGAAATGTCTCGGCTTAATTTCAATGTTTTTTTCGGCTTCCAATGGTTAGTGGATTTTTTCCCTCATCTCTACAATACTCTATTATGATAAACACCTACCTCTATATCTATATTAAGCAATTAAACATTGTAGCCCTATAAACAAATATGGATAGTGGCTGTTATAACTTGTCATTTGAATGCTTATTGTCTTGGCTCTTTTAATGCTACTTTTTGTATCAGGTCGTCGCTGATTGTTATGTCGGAAACGCTTTTCAGTTATACTCGAAACGACGGACCTCTGCGATTCCCACGATGCGAAAGTAAGAACACAAAGACTGGTATAAGTGATGATTTATTAACCCCAAAACACTATGACGACGATGACTCTAGTCGAAAATACACTCATTTTTATATTAAATGTACACCCATTTTGATTATTAATTAGAATGTAATCACATATATATATGAAAAATACCTAGAGTTATAACAGAGCACAGACTAAGCATAGTTCATGTCAATGGAATACAAGAATATCGTATATTATACAGAAGAAAAAGATCATACGAAAAAAGAAAACAAATGCTACATTGAATAATCATTACATTGAATCAAAACGGTAATAATGTTGAACAAAACTTATAATGAGTAAATCAATCGAAAATTGACTTTTCTTTCCAGCAGTGGAATCCATTTTGACGCGCGTTTCATCCTATTTAGGACTAGTCAGCTGGGTGCACCTGCATCCAAGAGTTGATGTTCACTCCGGGACTCGAACCTAGTATTGTTCGCCACTGAGTTCTTTAGTGAACATCAACTCTTGGGTACAGGTACATCCAGTTGACGATTCCTTAATAGGACGAAACGCGCGTCGAACTGGATTCCACTGCTAGCCACTATCCATCTTTGATTATAGTGCTTGTGAATTACGGCAATACCGAGGCAATACTCACACTATGCACATATGCCAATAAGAGATTGACCAATTACAGTTCTAAACATCAAGGGGAAGATTCAAGTAAACAATAAGTGAATTGTACCTTATATTTTACATTTTCTCTGTTTTTATAGGTATTATTAATATATTTTCTGTGTATACACACTCATACAATTGTAGGCAATTTACGAAGGTGTGCTTGTCGAACTTCAGTTCGCTTATTTCTTCTTGGCGAAAATTGTTAGTAGAAGTGGCGGTGGCGGCGTCGGCTTTGATTATTTACATTCACTTGATCCTCAATTGTATAAGCAAGTAGTTTTTTGAAGAATAAAAGTAGAAATATTTTTTCATTTAAAGCAAATTTACTACTAATATTGGTATCCATTCCATATGTTTTTTAATGCTAAGGATGCTACTGATAATCTCAAAAATTTCCTTTTTATTTTGTAATTACACTAATATTAAATACAAAGCCTGTTTCATATTTCCTTCATGGTTTCGTTGAAGTGGCAATCATTTTTTTAGTCTAGAAATCACCTAGCAAGTCATTAGAACAGATATGGTCAGCGTTCAGAACCTATATCAACATAAAACGTTTTGGTTATTATACTAAGACTTGCAATTACTACCCAACTATTAAGGAGTGCATTAGAGATTTCTTCTATGTAAATAGTTATAAACAATTGGAGAACAAAATTCTGAACTTAGATTTTGAAGTATTTGTCATTCGTCAGCAGGGTTTTTCTTTAATCTTGAAGGGAACCTCTTTTCTCTCTGCAAATTGGTTGACAGAATTTAATCAACACTTAAAGACTAGACAAACTAAACTTTCGTCATTACTCATTTGATTGTATCTGTAAGCAAGCTGATAACCTCTGTAATAGCTAAATTTCCATCAATCTTCCATTCCCATATATGTCATTCAATGTTATCAGTGATCTTTGCAAGCTTCAACTAACCTCCCATAGTATCCTGAACACCGCAGCTACCTTGACTTGGTCGTCAGACTTGCCTATCGTGATGGACCAATCGGGCTATACTGACTGGAATAATCGTTCCTCAATGTCCTACCATGCCGTCCAGGTCGGTTGAAGAGCGGCATGAATAAAAACAGCAAACTGAAGGTCCGAGTGCGAAGTTGTACTGCTGATTGTACAAAACTGTGACGACAGTAAGGTATTTCCTTCAAACAATCACCGTAACAGCGATACTACCTTCCCACGAGGAAGGGTGCGTTTAGAAAATGTCCGCCCTAAAAATGCACGCATCGCCTTATCCAATAGATCTTCGTCTCCCTCGGTTAAGGTCTCAACACTTACGGAGCTAAAATGAAAGTTACTTACAAAATGGTCGGACGTGACTAGTCTCAAGCAGTTATTCCTTGGGCATTGTAGTCACGCCACCTTCGACCCTTTTCAGGTGCCTCTAGGAGAACCCTTCCACAATGTGATAATCGCCCTCATACCTCTAACAACACTCAACACCACCCTCACAATATAAATATTTTAGTGTTTTCATAGAATTTTTTCTATATTTATTTCACAATTTTTAATAATTCATCATTAAGATGATAAACAATTCAGATTGGATTGAAATCAAGGTATGGCAACCCGAACTGATGTACGTACGTACGAAGTTCTACGTTGTTACTGACTGACTGAATATATATTAATCTTATCCAATCAATCATTTGTTATTTCTTTCTTATATTTTCATATTTTTTCTTTCTCAATAGACAATTATTATTTTTAAAAAATTACAAAGGGGATGTACGAGATTTATCATTAGATTTCACTATGGTTCAATCAATTTTTGGTCAATCTGAAACGGTCGAATTGAAACCAGGTGGTAAACATATACCAGTTACTGAAGAAAATCGTGTTGAATATGTACATTTAATTGCGAATTATAAATTAAATAAAATGGTGAGTTTTTTTTTGGTTGTTGTTACTTTGACATTTTATTTATGTTACTAGTTGAAATCATGAGTCACTTGAAGCTAGACCATCATGGAAAGCCTAGAAGCACTGAATGGCCGTTTCGTCTTATTGTGGGACTCCTCAGTAGTGCACATCCACGATCTTGCCTCGCGGGACTCGAACCCCAGGGCCTATCAGTCTCGCGCGCGAACGTCTAACCACTAGACCACTGAGCTAGCTGGTATTTAACAGTGTTAATGTTTAAATTCAACTTATCCACGAAATTGGGCGACACATCTTTCATTGTCTTCAGTGAGTTACTATCTCACAACAGACCCGATTGAACTCCACTGATCACTGCTTCTCACTAGAACTCCAGGAAATACCTATTGGAGACCGTCACTAGTGAGCATATGTTAATTAATATCAGAAGGGGTTTAGTTGGAATTAAACATTAACATCATGGGATGCTGGCTCAGTTAAGCGTTCGCGCGCGAGAGCGATATATCCTGGGTTTGAATCCAGCTAGGCGGGGTTGTGGATGCGCACTGCTGAGGTGTCCCACAACATGACGAAACGGCCGTCCACTGCTTCCAGGTTTTCCATGGTGGTCTAGCGTCATCAAACTCATGATCTCAACCATTAAAATTACTATATTATCCACAAAAAACCCCTTCCGATATTAATTATTTATGTATTGATTGGGATATGAGTACATCTAGCTGACAAGTACAAAATGGGACGAAATATGCGTCCCGCATTTCACTGCTAACCATCATCTATCTCTACTTATAAGAGTTATCTAGTTTTACTGAAAAGATTTTATAGAAATCAGTTTAATTTACAGGTGATTTTGCTATTATTCTGTGATAAGTGAAACCAATAAATGAAACCAATTTTTATGAAATTACTTCAAATGAACTATAGTATTCAGCTGATTAGTAACTTACTTTAAAATGATCATAGAAGCTCTAGTGAGAAGTAATAATTATCAGAGTTTAGAAACGTTATAATTGAAACAGTTATGATCGTTGAGCTTCATCACAAATTAATTGAATTTAAAACTCTAATATCACTGAACACTCACTAAGTATTTTTAATAGTTATGTATCTGCAACAAAACCCGATAATCATAGGTTTACACTGCGAAACACTCTTATAATAAAACAGATTAGCTATTTAACATTCTTTCATTGTCAATGGTATCTCAATCACAATATGTTATAAATTTAAACTACAAGTCAGTATTGAAAAGATCAAATTGAAGAGAACAGGAATGAAGAAACGATGAAGTTTATAAGAGAGATAACTGATGGAAGATGTGCAAATGATGTATTTCAATGTATGGTTTTCATATTTAAACACAATAAATTGATCTTCTCCACCTGAATTCTTCGTTCACGACAGTCTGAAACTTCAATAGACAAATTCATCTTTAAGTTGATGTTACTTAGTGTTGTAGTGAGTAACTTCAGAATATTTATTTCATACTTTCTGCAATATCATTTCAATTGAAAAATATACTAATTCATTATCGTTACTTTACACTTACCATATATTGAATACCTGTGGATAAGATGTACGAAGCTCTCAGCTTATATGTAACGTGAAATGAGTTAGACATATATATTATAAATATTCAGTCAACACCTATTTCTCTCTCTCCTAGAAAGTTAGTTTCAGCTATTACTTTCAATGACTTGAGATCAAATTAGTTGGTTGGAAGATGTCCGACTGAAAAATTTAAATATATCTATCGTGATGGTCAATCAATTGTCGACCGCTTCACTTATTTTTGAAGTCTCATCAGCCCTTGTGATCTGGTGTGTGACGAAATCTCGGCACGGATACAGAAGGCTCGACTAGCTTTTGCCAACTTGCATCATTTATGGCGTAGGCGAGATATCTGTCTATCAACTGAAGAATGTGTTTACTGCGCAACAGTTCGTTCCGTCCTACTTTATGGCTGTGAAACATGGCCGGTAAGAGTAGAGGATATTCGTAGGTTACTAGTATTTGATCATAGGTGTTTTCAAAGCATTGGTCGTATATCCTGGGACCATCGAGTAAGTAACACAGTTGTTAGGAAACGGGTACTAGGTAAGGATGGCAAATCAATTGATGAAGTGGTGAAACTTCATCAGTTGAGATGGCTGGGACCCGTGTTACGTATGCTCAATCACCGACTGACTCGACGTGCGATGTTCAATAGTATAGGTGTAGATTGGAAGAAAACTAGAGGCGGCCAAACCAAAACATGGCACAAGTCCATGTACCTTAAAATTTCGTTAGTATCTGGCTATAATTTTTATCTTTTATTTATCATTGATATATTCTGTTGAATTGTAAATCTATCATCTATGAGACTACTTTGTTTGTTTACAATTATTATTGCATGCATTTTATTGACATGTAATGATTTCTCAACATTAGATTTATCCGCAAGTACGAGCTTTTACTGCTGGTTTAAATGATGTCATACCGATTGATTGGGTACGTCTTTTTGATGCAGAAGAATTACAAACTCTTATATCTGGAGCAGA